AAACAAATAAACAAACAAGAGGAAATACAACTGTTTCAAAAATCTGAATCCAAAAGTCAGCAAGAGAGAAAAACCAAAAGCAGAAATCAATAGAAAGTAGAGGGTAAGACGGTATTATTTAAGCCCAAATTAGTAACTACTTTAGACATAGCATAGCAAATACTCCAAAAAAAAAAAAAGGCTCAGGGCTGGGGTGTAGCTCAGTAGCAGAGCACACGCATAACATGCACAAAAGCCATGGGTTCAATCCCCAGCACTGTGAGAAAATAAACAAATAAAAACAATTCCATAAAAGGAAATCCTATGTGCCTATAAGGGTGACACCTTAAATATAAGAATGTAGACAATCTGAATGTAAAAAGATGAACAAAGGTGTATTATGTAGTCAGTACTCAACAGAAAGCTAATCCTCTCAGTAAACTAGAAATCGAAAATTTCCTCAACTTGATAAAAAAAATTTTTTACAAAAACACAGCTAACAATATACTTAGTACTGAGAAACTAGAAACTTGACCACTAAGATCAAAAATAGGGCAAGGGGGCTGGGGATGTGGCTCAAGTGGTAGCGCGCTCGCCTGGCATGCGTGCGGCCTGGGTTCGATCCTCAGCACCACATATAAACAAAGATGTTGTGTCCTCCAAAAACTGAAAAATAAATATTTTTTTAAAAATTCTCTCTCTCTCTCTCTCTCTCTCTCTCTCTCTCTCTCTCTCTCTCTCTCTAAAAAAAAAAAAAAATAGGGCAAGGATGTTCCCTCCCACTGTTACTTTCAACTTCGTACTAGAAGTCCTAGCCAATGCAATAATACAAGAAAAGGAAATGAGAGGTATGCAGAATAAGAGGAAATAAAACTGTTTGCAGATGGCATGATCATCAATGTAGAGACTCCTAGAACAACTGAGTAATTATAGCAAGGGTGAGATATAAGCTACAAACTAGGAGAAACTATTTGCAAAAGATACATCCAATAAAGGACTATTATCCAAAATACACAAATTATTAAAATTCAACAATAATGAAACAAACCACCCTTAATAAAATGGGCCAAACATCTTAACAGGCCCTCCACCCAAGCAGATCTATAGATAGAAAATAAGCAGAAGAAAGGATGCTCTACATCATATGCCAAAATGGAGATGGAACAATAAGATATGGTTACACACCTATTAAAATGGCCATGGGCTGGGAATGCTCAGTTGGTAGAGTGCTTGTCTTGCATGCACAAGGCCCTGGGTTCTGATCCCCAGCACCACAAAAAAAAAAAAAAAAAAAAATGGTCAAAGTTCAGAATATTCAGGAGACTGACATCATCAAATGCTGTCCCAGATGTGGAGCATCGAGAACTCTTGTTCATTACTGAAGGATTGCAAAATGCTTCACCCACTTTGGAAGACTGTTTGATTTGCAGTTTCTTACAAAACTCAACATATTCTTATTATGCAATCAACAATCATGCTCCTGTGGGGTGTGCAGTGAAAACCACCCAGGGATGGTGGTAATGGCCTTCTTCATAATTGCCAAAACTTGGGAGCAACCAAGACATCGTTTGGTAAGCAAAGGGATAAACTGAGGTACATCCAGAAAATGGAATATTATTCTCCGGTAAAGAGAATGAGTTATCAAGCCATGAGAAGACATGAAGGAACCTTAAATGAATATTACCAAGTGAACGAAGCCAATCTGAAAAGACTCCACACTGTAGAACATTCTGGAAAAGCAAAACTGTGGAGATAGGAAAACGACTGGGTTAGGGATGTGAGAAGGTAGAAGGGATGGACAGGCAGAGCACAGAGGGGTTTTAGGGCAGTGAAAAGCCTCTTCTGCTGCAGTGGGTACATTTCACCATACACTTGTCCAAACCCACAGAATGTGCACCACCAAGAGTGAACTCTAAAGCTAACCACAGACTTTGGGTGATTACGCTGTGTCGTGTGGGTTCATCAAATTCAATGATATGCATCACTGGCAGGGGATGCTGATCATGGAGAAGCTAGCGGGTGTGGGGCTGGGGAGTACATGGAAATCTCTTACCTTCCTTTGCTGTAAAATCACTCTAAAAACGTTAAATCATTTCAAAAGAGAAAGAAAAAAGAAAACTGATCTACCATGCAATGCAAAGTAGATCATAAGGCAGAAACTCTACTAGGGATGAAGGGGGAAGTTTCACAAAGATAAAAAAAAAAAAAAGTCAACTCATCCCCAAGTTATGGGGGATGATTCTCAATTTGTAACCATGTAACAACAGAGCAAAACTTGACAGCAGCACCAAACATGTTATCAAATATGTTCATACAAAATCTGTATGCAAGCTTTCTTTGCAGCATTATTCACAATAGCCAAAAAGTACCAACAACTCAACTAGTCAGCGGATTGTGGTGTGTCCATGTGGTGTGTCCACGTGATGGACTATTACTCAGCCATAAAAAGGAACCAAGTAGCAATACATACAACAAAATGGATGTCCTTAAAACATGAAGAGAGCTAGAAACACAGGCCTGTCATACAAATAAACATTTACCCAAAATGTCCACATGGGAAAATCTGTGGACAGGAAAGTACACTAGTGGATGACAGAGGCTAAGGAAAAGGGAAGCCAGAAGTGCTAGTGGGTATGGGAGGTATTCAGAATTTTTCTGGAAGGAGGGGCAATGAAAATACTCTAGAATTAAACAGCAGTGATGGCTATGCGGCCTTGAACATACACTAAAAACTACTCAACTGCACTCCTTGGTATATAAGTTATATCTCATTTTTTTTAATACGTGGTTTAAAAACAACTTGTCAGAAATAAAAGGAAAAACAAACAAAAAAAAATTCTACCATAATTGAAGATTACCCCTCTCTGGATCATTGATACAACAAACCAAAATCAGTAAGGAGGCAGAGTTGAGGGGTTGGGGTGTGGCACAGAGGTAGAGTATTTGCCTAGGAACCAGGAGGCCCTGGGTTCGATCCCCAGTACCACCAAAAGGAAAAAAAAAAAAAAAAAGGATGGAGATTTGAGAAACATAATTAAAAGTTTGTGCTACACACACAAGAAAGATCCAGCAGCCATTGAGGAAAGGCCCCCACGGAGGCTGGGGCATTGCTCAGTGGCAGAGCAAGTGCTTGACATGCTTGAGGCCCTGGGTTCCATCCACAAAACAAATAAATCAATAGTAGGTCAGTCGCCTTTGGCTGAACGTTTACTACAGACACAGCAGGGACCAGGCCTCACGGTCTGTGCTGTAGCACCTCCACCCACTTCCCTTGTTAACACACCTCTCTCAAGAGCTGAGGAAATGGGGGTGTGGGGCCTGCAGAGAGGGTGTCTGGCCCCAAGTCACTAGCTTGCTTCTGAACCCCTCCTGTGCACCATCTTCCACGGCTGAGTTCCATAAATCTGATGAGGATCTTTATTCACATAAAGACACCAGGGTGCTGGAGTGATTAAGTCTGATGCAGACAACAGACACCTACTGTATACAAGACAGTGAGAGTTTTAAAAATAGCAACAGCTTATTGAGTCCACCAGCTGGTAACTCAAGGTTGCAAGCGCTAACATCTTTCACCATGGACCCTCACGACGACCTGCCAGGCAGACCCATCCCTCTCCTACTGATAAGGAGCGAGGTGACCTCGCCAAAGGAAGGACGCTGTTCCTAAGTGTCGGGACACTGGAATGCAAGCCGTGAGAGGCTTCTCTACCACATCACGATGTCACACCTTCCGGCATCACCAGGCCCCTGACGGAGCCCGGAGACGGGGCACCCTCCTAGCAGGTTAGTTGATCTTCAAAGCAACCCGGAGGAGCCAGTGACACAGAGATCACAGGGGTTTATAAATGAGGAAACCAAGAGGGGTCAGGTGTCTCTGACGGAGAAATGTACACCTGGGCATGCCCCACCCACCAGGTGAGACCACCAAGAACCCTAAAGAGAGGAGAGGTGGAGGCCACCTGATACAGACCCTGAAGTGGAGACACTGCTGTTTGTCATTTAGCAAACCCGTTTTTATTCTGTTGTTATACTTTGTGGGTTTTATGATGGGATGATAAGTACAGGCTTCTATTGATCACATCCACAGTGACACTAGATCAGAAAGACGGTGATCACCTTTGTAAACAGCTTCACTGAACAAAGCTGCCCTGGGACACGGCTAAACACAGACACTTAACACAGCCATTCCCAGGGCGGGTCTATGCACCTACCTGACCCCTCTTCTCCAGCACAGAAAAAAACTAACAGGTTTGTCCCCCAGGTGGCAAGTAACCTGCATTATTAGACTTCAGGTTCACCAGATCCACTTGATGAAGGAGTAGAATCACACTCAAGAGAGGGTAAGTGGCTTAGCCAAAGTCACACAGCTAGGAAGCAGCAGATGGGAGACAAGAATCCAGGCCTCCTGACAGGGAGGAGGGACACCAGGATACAGAACCCGCACGCCAAAGCCAAGAAGGGCGGCAGGACCTCTTGGCCTGTAGATGAAGCCAAATCAGACAGAACAAGCTTTGGTCCTGGGAGGGCCCTGAACAATCACCTAATCCACCCACCGTTCAGAGGGGTAAACTGAGGACCAGTCAAAGAAAGCAACTTGCCAAAAGTTAAACACCTAGAAGTGGAAGCCAAGACCAGAAAGCAGGTCCATCATGACCCAGTTCTTAACCCCCAGCAATCTGGAGAGAGATTTGAGGAATCTGGTATGGAATCGGTGAAGAAATCAATCCACAGGGTTTTGTGTTTTCTTTTCTTTTTTTTTTTTTTTTTTTCTTTTCTCTTTAGCAGGTGTAAGTCATGCACAAAAAAAGTATAAGGTGCCATCTGGGACCCTGAGAAGTTTACAATCTAGCTAGAAAAAACAGGCATATGCACAGAAAAACCAGATCAGCAACATAAAACTTCAACCCAAGCAGCAACTGTGTCAAGAATTCAAAGGAGACAGCAACGGGGCTTGTTGCTAATCTCCCTGAAGGAGGGATCGGGAAGGCGGGGTTTTAAAGCATGAGTCCACAAGACAGAAAGGAATGGGTACGCCCGTTCAGAAAGGAATTCCAACTTATAAAAGGGTTTTGAGAGACAGCCGAAGCTGAGTCTTGGGGGCTGGGAGCCTTCCATGCTAGGCCAGGGCCTGGGAACTTGCATTGTGCAACGAGTGGTCTTGAAACATTTGGGGGAGCAGGACAGTCGGAGGTCTCAGAACTCTTCACAGAATTTCACAAGTGTCTGATCACATTTCAACATTAGTGTCAGAAAACACAGCTGTGCTGTGTCTGCAGTGTGAATCACGATGGCGGGCAGGCGACACCAGTCCTGCCGCCACAAGGACCCATCCCGTCCCGGCATTCCTGCTGGAGGGTCATCTGCCCCTTGTCTACTGCTTCTGTCCTGAGCCCTGAGGCTAGCAGACCTCAAACCAGGGGCCACTGTGGTGGAGACAACATGGGGAGAAAACCTAGGAATGGAGGAAAGTCAGAGAAGCTGCTTCTCTTCTTCAGGGAGGAGACAGGCAGTCTCACAACTTCAGAGGTCAGAGGCAAAGAGCAGTGCCCACCCTGAGCCTCGGTTCCCCCACCTGACACAAAGGGGCTGGGGAGAGGAGCACCATGAGACCAAGCTCTGGACACAAGACTTTCCCCGACAGGTCCTCTTCACATATCCTGGGCTCTTTGGGTGGTGAGAGGAATGAGGGTGGCCCTTCAGCCACGGCCACACTTCCATCCAGGCCGCACAGAGAACAGCAGGGGCAGAACCAGCTCACAACCACCAGCTTCAGCCCCGCCAGGGGTCAGCAAGGGACGCCGGTGAGGCGCGGGACACTGGCACAAGCCTGGCATCCGTGTGACTGACCCCATCTGGTGCGGCCCCCGTGCTTCTCTCCTCACCAGGGGCTTGCCCCTGGCCATCCTGGGCTGTTGAGGCCTCCTCCACTTCTCAGTCCTGACAGCAGATGAAGATCTTTTCCCTAGGTCACCTGGCCAGGAATGGACAACACCCTGTGCCCAGGACCTGGGCTTCTATGAGCTGGCAGGGGCATGGGATCCTGGGAGAGTCTGTGTGCCGTGTCCCCACTCCCTGGGGCAGCTGGGAGGTCACCAAGAGTCGGATGTAGTAGCCACCAAACACTGCCAGCAGCTGTCGGGCCATTTCCTGGAAGAGGCAGAGAAGCAGAGTGAGGCCACAGGGACACACCTTGAGGGAGGGGAGCGGGAGCCTCTGGCCCCCAGCCCAGGAGTGATGCTCTCTGGGAGAGAAGAGGCGGGGCTGGCACCTGAGGCTCTCAAAGACACAAGCCCAGCCTAGAACCCAGCTCAAAGGCTCCCTGGCTAGGGACTGGTGCAGCTGGGCTTCTCATCTCCAAGGGGGAAATTAATGTGTATGAACGATAAAACGCACAGGGACTGGGGCTTGGTGGTAGAACACGGGCTTAGCATGCATGAGGCCCTGGGGTCAATCCTCTGCAATAATAATAATGATTAATAATAATAATAATGGACACATAACCTCAAAGCACTAGGGAAATTACCAACCCCCCTCACACCCTCTTCCCATTTCGAATATCCATGAGTCTGTAAAAGTAAGTGAGGTCAAGGTGATCACTTAAGAAGAGGAAAATGAGGACTTGGGGAAATTTCCCTTTGGAGCAGGAGTCTCCAATTCACACAGTGCACCTGGTAGGTCTCTTTATACAAGTACTCCTAATGTATTAAAAGGTTGCTTATAAAAATTGGACTTAACCCAAAAGGACAAACACGGTCCGCTGATGTCCAAATGCTGTCTCTACTACATAAGGCACCTGGAGCAGTCAATTCACAGCAAGAAAAGGCAGAAGGGCGGCGGCTCCAGGGGCTGTGGGGAGAGGAGGGGGCAAGCGTTATGGGTGTGGAGCTTCAGCATGGGGGGCCGAGGGTGCTCTGGAGGTGGTGGTGCTAACACCGTGAACATAATCAAAGCCACTGAGCTGTATACTCAAAATGATTAAGATGGTGCGCTTCATAATATCTATACTTTACCAAAATGAAAACAATTAAAATGTACTTTGAAGAACTGAAGAATTTCAAAGAATTTTAAAAATTGGAATTAATGCATGCTGTTAACACACCCACTAGTCTAGCAGGTGAGATTCGAGGGAAACGTGCTTATTCCTAGAGCATATCTAAGGTCTTTCACAAGACCACTGTCCACTCCAAATGTAATGAAATACGCTGCGGGTTCCATCCAGGCAATTTGTGCCTTTAGAGTCAGGAATGAAGGCAGCCATGCCAATCAAGAAGGCCACGGGGAAAGGCAGGTCCTCCCCTCTGCACTGACCCTGAGCGGTGGCCCCGCCTGCTGAGCCCAAGTCTTCCTGAGTAACAGGGAGAACCGTCATACCTACCACCTGAGTGGGGGAGGGCTGCAGGAGCCAACAGATCGAAAGCATTTAGCCAGGGCCTGATAAACAACATCAATAGCATCACCATTATCACACACAAAACTCAGAAACCACCCAGTTCAGAGGACAGCTTTCTGTTTGACTTGTTCTTTGTGCTTGAAAATATTGAAAATGTCAAATAGTCTATCACTCACTCGGATTGGTTTTCTCACCAATTTGGTCTAGAATCAATAACATAAGAAGCTAAGAACTGTAGCAAGAAAATTGGCTAAGTTACATTCTCCCTTGCTCCATGACCTTGGGTGAGTCAGCCGACCTCACAGAACCTACTTTGCCCATCAAAGAAGGGAAAGTAACCCCCACCACAGAGAGTGTGCTAAAGCATTTTATGCAGGACAAAAATCTGTAAAAATGGAAAAGGTCATTTTAACTATCTGTCTTTTACAGACTCTGGGCTCACAGAAATAGGACGGTGCAGACTATACGGAGACTTGGGGAGTGACTGCGTTTTCCCTAGCTAAATTACAAGAGCAGCTCCTTTAAAACTATGCACACATACACACCTGATACTCAGGACAGGAAATTTTACTTCTATGGATTTGAAAACATCATTTAAAAGACCCAGGTTTAATGGGCTATTGCACCTAAGCCCAAACACGCATGCCACAATAAAGTATGTGACCTTATGAATCTTTTCTGCTCTTTAAAAAAAAAAAAAAAAGGATCCAAGTGAAAAGATTCATACAGTCATCATTTTCGCTTTGAAGTAGTCCTACTGGAAGGCCTCCAACTCCCACCAGGGCAAAAGAGGGGAGTCGGGGCTGGTTTGAACCTTGAAGTCCTAAAGATTAGGGCTGAAATTAAATGAAAGTCTTCTCCTAAAGTTCCAAATGTCCCCCAAGGTCACTCCTTGCTGCTTGTCTCCCTGACAGTGGGTCTGTGCTCCTGGTTTAGCCTGACCCAAGAGGCAGCTTGGGTAGCAGGACCCACAGAACTGGGGGGCTGTGGGAACTAGACCGCAACAGAATTCAAAGACTCATATCAAATCCAAATATCCCACGGCAGTTTAAGTAGAGAGATGGAGGGGTGGTAGGACAGATGGGTAGATGATTGATCAATTGATTGATAAACATGTTTTAAAGATCAGTATTGACAAAGTAAGCTGTAATCTGTCAACATGAAACTACCATCCGATATTCAAGCTGAGTACAGCAGAGCGTGCCTGGGATCCCAGCAGTTTGGGAGACTAAGGCAGGAGGATTGCAAGCTCCAGGGCAGCTTGGGAAACAGCAAAACCCTGTTTAAAAATCGAATTAAGGACTGGGGTTGTGGCTCAGCGCTCGCCTAGCATGTGCAAGGCCCTGGGTTTGATCCTCAGCACCACATAAAAATAAATAAAAATAAAGATATTGTGTTCGACTACAACTAAACAATAAATATTTTTTTTAAATCAAACTAAAAGGACTGGGGAAGTAGCTCTCAGAGGTAAAGCACCTCTGGACTCAATCCTCAATACAGGAAAAAAAAAAAAAATCCAAGACACTGAAAAACACAACCAAAAATCCTAACCAGTACAAAACAATTTCTATAAATTATTTTTTAAAGTGTTGGGTAGGCAAAAAGAAAGTTCAAAGATTCGGGCTTCAAGGTTTGGAGTCTACCAACTCAGAGGAGCCCCGCGGAATCCGCACCTACCCGGCCACCCGGCCTGTGTGGAGGAGGATGGCCCCCAGTCTCAGTGCCTGTTACCTCCGGCTCAGCCTCGGGAACAAGCTGGTGGAGCTCCGTCTGCACGAGCGGTCTCTCCTGAGGACGAGGACTGCTGGGCAGGAGAGGAGCCTCCTCCGAGCTCTCGGGGCCCTCCGCCATCGTGGGGCTCACCCCCGTCTCCAGGACAACATATAACTGGCTCAGTCTGCTTCTCAGCAAGGACTGCAAAGGAAACAGAGAGGAGTGTGGGTGCTTCCTAAATTGGGTGGGAGCTGGGAGGTGGCAGGCTGCCTGAGCTGCAGACCCAGCGGAGGATGAGCTAACTATGGACTCGATGCTGGCCTCAGAAGTATCTGGAACTGAGTCACATGGTGAGGGCCCCTCCTTCCCCATAAGAGCCCAGCCCTTAATGGCCTTATAAAGGGCTCGCCTTCCAAGCTCTCATTTGCTCCTCAAAGTGGCAAGGAGCCCAGGGCTCAGAGCCCGGAGGCTCAATCCCCCACCGGCTACAAGACCATGACTACAGACAGGCTGCCGTCTCAGAGCCTGATTCCCCCTCTGCAGAATCAGTAAGATCTCCCCATTTTCTGTATAAATGGTAGAAAGCACTTTGAAGAAGTGAGAGTCACCTAAACCCATTTTACCTTTGGATCCACCAGAGTTGATCATTAATATGACTCTGAGTATAAAGAAATACATATTCAGCCAAGCTTGGTGATGCACACACACCTGTAATCCCAGTGACTTGGGAGGCTGAAGTAGGAGGATTGCAAGTGCAAGTTTGAGGCCAGCTCAGCAATGTAGTGAGACCCTAAACTACCCTGTCTCAAAATAAAAACTAAAAAGGACTGGGGATGGATTGCCCCTGGGTTCAATCCCCATTACCCCCCCCCACCAAAAAAAAATTAGAAAGCAGAAAAGCAACCACCAATTTCATGAATTTCATGCAGGGCTTCTTCTTTCTAAGGTACTTTTTCTTGGATATTTTTCCAGTGTTAAGGCAATGTGGTCTACACAGTCTGGCCTCCTGGTTTATTTTGCTGGTGTTGTATGGTTACGAGAGCTTACCTCTTGGTTAGTCTTCATCTCCTGAACGTGGTCAGACAAAAACTGCACGCAGTCCTCCAGGTCGAAGTAGACAAACCAGAGCTGTGCAGGGAAGAGCCAGGCCCTGTGGCTTGCCCGCCAGCAGCCTCCCACTTCCAGCCCGGGGTCCACCCGCTGCTCCTTACCAAGGACCACCCTTCTGAGGAACACCCAGTTTGTTCCACTCTCCCCGAGCCTTCCACCATGACCACGTCTCCTCTGTACAGCCAGCAGGAAAAAAACAACTTTGCGTTCAAAGTTGGAAAATGTCCAGTCCTATACCAAATGGCAGTGGCTTCATCCCCCACAGGTCACCGAGTATCCCAGAGAGAAGCTAACCCTTCCTAGAGCAGGGCATGTGCACGCCTGTCATCCCGGCAACCTGGGAGGCTGAGGCAGATGGACTTCAAGTTGGAGGCCAGCCTCAGGAACTTAGCGAGGCCCTCAGCAACTTAACAAGACACTAAATCAAAGTGAAAAACAAAAAGGGCTGGGGTGTGGCTCAGTGGCAAATACCCCTGGGCTCAATCCCCAGTACCAAAATATTAAAAATCAAAAAATAAATGAATAAACCCTCCTGGCCATCACTGTTCTTCTGGGGCCACCACCCTCATCCTCTGTAGTCAGGGCGCATTTCTGCCTGGAACCCAGATGGACAAATGAGTGGAACCCTTCACAGACGACACCTCCATTGCTCATGCCCAGATCCAAGGTCATCACCTTGGGTGCTCTGGGGGAGGGAACAGGGTAAGCCTCCACCTCTCCTCCACCTCACCTTCCACCTCGACCTCAGCAGTCTCCAGGAGGCCAGGCCACACTCACAGGCCGAATCTTCCAGGGCCACACATTATATAACACCTTGCCATAATCACAATCCAAGTTCTAAAAAAACGAGGGGTGCCCCTCGCCTCCACCTCCACGCACTGGCCACGGCCCTCCACCCGGTATCTGCCCCACGAGAGCCAAGCACACCGCCCACGGCCAGCTGGTCTCCCACTGTCTCATCCAAAGAGAGGAATTTTGTCAAAGCTTTTTACGCTAAAGATTTCCAAACAGGTACCAGAGTAGGCGGCAGCCTCCATCCTCCTGTGTCAACTACTGTCCCCTCATGGCCACTCCTGTTTCCTCTCTACCTTCTCTCCTGACCCATCACAACACCCCTGCACACCCTGGCCATTTTGACACTGGGTCCCCTCATCCCCCAATGCTATTTTGAAAATGACAAGACACAGTTGCCTGAAAAGGAGTGTCCATGCACCCGGCCTCCAGCCCACCACCATCTGACATGCCACGTCACCGTCCCCCCCCACTCCCCGTGCCAACTGATAAAGCAGAGCCAGAGCTCAGCGAGGCTAAAGGGACCAGCAGAAGCTCCCTGTCCCCAAGGCCACACTCTGGCGATGTACCTGGTTCACCCCCTGACGTTGGGCTCATGTGCTCAACTCCACAGGCAGAGAGCTATGTAGTTCTCTGCTGCTGTTTCAGCAGCTAGAACATGTCAGGCACATAGTAGGCTCTCAATAAACTCCTGTGGGATAGACAAGGCCTGTGCATAAGGATTCTCCCCAGGCCCTGTGCATGCCCACCCCCCAGACTCCTCTAGGCTCTTCCGTGCAAGGTGCCAAGGAGATGTGGCAACCCCACTGGGCAGAGTCCAGCCAGGATCATGACCGCCAGCCCCAGTTGTGTCCCAACCCACTGTGAGACTTTGTACTTGTCACCTTAAGGCCTCCCCTCTGTCTCTAGGATATAGAAAATGACTTGAGCCAGGTGGACAAGGCCTTCAGCACCTGATCTGCCCCTCCAGCCTCATCTCTCCCAGCTCTGCCCTCCCTGGTGGCTCCTCATGATCCCCCAAAGTGCCCTGTCTGCCTTGCATCTCAGCCTTGCCAGGGCCTTTCTTTGCCCCAGGGCCAGCAAGGTATTGTGACCATGTGACCACATGCCTGCCATCCTCACAAGCCTGTGAGCTATTGCTGGCTGGACACCCTGCAGGCCTCTGGTATCCTTCAGTGCCCACAAGCGGCTCAGCACCAAGGAGCTGTCCAGAGCAGGGAGGAAGGAAAGGGCCTGTGACATCATCTCACCTGCAGGCTCCTGGACCTGCTGCACAGGCTGGGAGATACAAGGCCAACTGTCCTCAGGAGCCCAGATCAAAAGTGGGCCACCAGGGAGAGACCACTCCAAGCCACAGTACCTGGATCACACTCTGGCACCCTTCCACGGTGTCCGTCACCCCCAGCAGCACCCGGTGTCTCAGCAGGGCTCTATTGGCAGCCGTGAGCCTCAGGTCTGTATTAGTGTTAGCCTGTAAGACAGATGCCAGGCCCATGGTTGACCTCTGTGCTGCCAGGGAGCTCCTGGGCCAAGGCCACACTGTCCCACCCTGGACACCACACAGCAGCCCTCACCCTCAGGACTTGCACCTCCTCCCCTGTAAATGGGGCCATTGTTGGGACAGCAAATTCAAGAGTATCAGGCAGCCCAGGGCAAAGCCCGCCTCTTCTACCTCCGGGGGTCTGGCCCTGTGAGTGATGTCCCTTCCCTGGGCCCTGCTGTCTTCAGTTACAGAATAAAGAGTAAACAATGTCATTGACAGTGAAACTGGATTCAAAACATCACATTTCCACTGTCCCTGCCTCCCAGGAACGCAGGGAGGTTTCTCTGGGATCGTGGATGAAGCTCTTAATCCAGGCTGGGGCGCATGGGCAACAGCACTGGGGGGGGTGGGCGCGAATGGCCTGCGCACCTGCTCTCGGAAAGCACGCGTCTGTAAAAGGCCTGCCTCTGAAGACCCGGCTGGGGCCTGGGCCTTGTGCCCCTCAGGCCAGCCCTTCCTATACCGGTAACAAGAGGGAGGAAAGGAGCTGGTCCAGGTGGAACTCTGGGGGTAATGGGCTGCGGTCAGCTAGCGACAGCTTCGTGATGACGAAACCCACTTTAGTATGCGGTATTACCCACATGGCACTGGCCACAGACACGTTCTCGGGAACCTGCTTAGCAATGAGCGGTACTCTACAGGGGTGCTGGGCACAGTCTCGCCTGCCCTCCCGAACCTTCTGCTCTCAAGGAAGGGCAGCAAGGCCAAGTGAGGAAAATGAGGCAGTGGGTATGAATCCTGAGGCTCCTGTGGGTGCAAGGGACGTGGGTGGGGCACCAACAGCAACACGGCCAGGAGCCCGGGAGCAGGGATCTGTATGGTCCTGAGGACCAAGAAGCCCCACAGGTTAGAAGCCCTTGAACTGAGACCCAGAGGAGGACCTACGGAGAGCTGTGTGGCCACAGACTCGTCACTTCAGCTCGCTGGGCTCCAGGTTCCCCACCGGCAGACAAGATCGACAGTAATGACAGTTAATACCTGAGTAGCATTTACAGTATACCAAGTACTACCATAAGCACTTTTCATGAATTAAATTATTTCATTTGCACAAAAATCCCACAGTTATTTTGCCGCACATTAGAGGTGAGGAAACTTGAAGCCCTGCAGGTAAGATGGTAACTTGCTCCAAGCTGAGGGCTAACAAATGGCAGAGGTGTTCTGGGCACATACTTCAGGCCCTAAGCACGGGGCACACAGCGGGTGCTCAGGACACAGGGCTCACTGCTAGGAGTTTCCAGAGTGAGCAGATGGCCCAGGAACACTCCCTCGGTGCCCCTGGGCCTTTGTGCTGCCTGTGAGAGGCTGGGCCTTGCTCATGTCTGTGACTTGTGCCTAGCACATTACCTGGATCTCACAGGGGCATCACAGCTGACAGGTGAATGAAAGGAGGGGAGAGGCGGGGCGGGGCGCCCACAGGCATCCCCTGTCCACATGGCTTGCATCTGCAGCCTCCAGGCAGCCGGATGCCAGCCATTCTCCTGCCTCTGCTCAAGCACACCACTTTGCTTTTTCCTCTCCCCAAAGAAGCTTCCTGCTTCAGGAGCAGCTTGCTCCATTCATTTCTTACCAGCCAAGCACAAGGGCTATTGGGGGGAAGTTTCAGCACAGCCCGAGGGCAGTATTTTCTTGTCAGCCTGGTGATAAAGCCCAACAAAGATCCTTTCAGAATGATTCAGCCATAAAATTCCTATTTGTCCCAGTGAACACAGGGGACTGACCTGATGACATTTCCCCACATCCTGCCCTCCCTGTCTGAGTAGGAGCCTCGTGCCTGCTGAGAACCTCGGGGCCCAGCACTGTGCCCAGGGCTGCAGGATGCGAGGACAGGAGCTTTCCAAGTCACCGTGAGACAGCATCGGTGTGCTGGGCAGAACGGTGGTCCCCCAGGGACACCTGAGTCCCATTCCCCAATCCTGTCCATCTTTTGGGTGGAGGCTACTGCAGTTTACAGGTGGGGAAGCTGAGGCTCAGAAAGACTCTGGGAGCAGCCCAAGGTCATGCTGCTGATCAGTGGCCAAGCTGGAATCCCAGGCCAGGATGCTCAGATTCCAAGTCATGTTCTTGGTCAGCACCCTGCTGTTGGGCCAATCTGTGACTATTGTTAGGTGGCAAAGGGGACTTGAGTGCAGGATGGACTTCGTGCTGCTGCTCAGCTGACCTTCAAATGCTGAGATTATCTTGGATTAGCCAGGGGGTGTGATATAATCACAAGGGTCCTTCAAAGGGAATGAGAGGCAGGAGAATCAGAGCCAGAGGAGGTGTGGCTTTGAAAGAGGAGGAAGGGACGGGGCCTAGGAATGCAGGAGCCCTAGAGGAGCTGGGAAAGACCAGTGGACAGATTCTTCCCTACAGCCTCTGGAGGGAACACAGCCTGCCACACCCGATTCTGGCCCTTTGAGGCCTGGGCTGATGATCACAGAAGCGTAAGTTAATTCATAACACTGTTTTAAGTTTACAGCATTTTGTTACAGTGGCTCCAGTTCCCACACTGTAGAGTTCGCACTAAGAACATGGCGCAGAATCTGAGCATCCCGGCCTTGAACTCCAACTCGGCCATTTACTAGCAACACGGCTGTGGGTTGCTCGCTGAGCCTTCCTGAGCTTCGGCTTCCCCACCTGTAAACAGAGTCCACCCAGAGGACTGTAAAGCACTGAACGGAGGACTTACTGTACTTCAAGAGCACTCAACCCGTAACAAGAGACACACATTCAAAGAAACTACAATTCATGAGCCGTACCTTACGATGGGAGGGGTTGACCTCCTCTTCAAAGGTGATCAAAACCTTCAGAGGGCTCAGGATTTGAACCCTGGCTCTGCCACTTATAGTGGAATCCAGGAGAAGTTACCTAAAGTCTGACCACCCTCAAGCTCAGGCACCCAGTGCTGCAGGGAGGTGGGCTCAGTGACCCTCTTGAGCTTTCTCACAGGGCTCCCATGCGCACCCAGGGAAAGGTGAGTGAGAGCTCAGTCAGCTCAACTGACTCAGCACCCTCTTCCCAAGCTCTTTAAAACAGCTGGCTTCCAGGAAAAAAAAAAAAAAAAAACCCACAGGGATTAAATGAGAAAAACAAAGCTCTCTAGCTCTCTGGCATGAGGCAAGCAGCTTTGCTCCCCTCCCCATGTGCTGCTCCTGGGACACGCGGCCTCACCACAGGCCCCAAAGCAGCGGGGCCAGCCAATCACGGATTGGGACTTCCCAAACTATGAGCCAAAATAAACTTTTTCTCTTTTTAAGTTGATTAAATAAAAGAAAGAAAAAGAGGACTTTGTCCTGATGGTGATCTGATTTCTTTCAACCCTGGTGCATGTGGGCCAGAGTGAATTTTCATGGCAGGAGGGATTCTTTAAAAGCAGGCAAGAGGAAAGGCTGGCTTGGGACTCTCAGGCCCACCCGGCCCTCTGGAAGAAGCATGGCAGGGGCCTCTGGACCTCTCACCTTCCTCTGCTGCCTCTCGAAGACCAGCATGAGAGTCAGGGTCAGGCTGACTGCGGCCAGGGTCACGAGCAGCACGCCCGCCCAGTGGCTGCCCAGGGCAAACATCTGGCTGGTTGAATAGATGTTGGCCCAGATCACCACGTAAAACACCTGCGGGAAACCAGGGAAGAGCACAGTCAGGAACCCCCATCCTCAAACGAAGCACCTCCACTCCCAGGGACACCGGCAGAGGCCCCCAACACCCTCCTGGGTTCAAACAGCTCACGGGGCTGGAAGAGACCAACGCAGACTCTGGGTCTATGGGAACGGATGTGTATTCCCTGTTTATAAGCAAAAGCGGACTGCAGGGCTTTCAGCTGCTCCCAAGCCCTCTTTATCCTGATCTTAAGTAAAACAGAAAAAGAAGAAGTCTTTGGAGAAAGATAAGGTTGAGTCTGAAACCCACAGTGATCCTTAACTGGCCATTCAGCCTTTCGTCTCTGAACCTCAGTTTGCTCATCCGTAAAGTGATGATAATAACAGCTACTTTGGGGGTTTGCTGCAAGAGTTAACAGGGTAACAAACGTCACAGCCCAGCACTGACTAGAGAATTAATAAATGATGATTCTCACTCCTTCCCCTTCTCCCCAGAAGAGGGAGGTGAGAGTCAGCCATGCTATCTGACCAAGGATTCACCAAAGAAGCAAGTCGTAGTGGTTAAGACCACAGATGCAAAAGCCAGACAGCTTGTGTTCAAACGTATGTATGTGTTTGTGAGTGTAGATGTATGCGTATGCAGATGTAGTGTTCACATGTACACATACACACATGTGCGCATGCATATATACATACATGTGTATATGACTAGGGCTGGAATGGACCTCTCTGTGAGCAGAAGAGGAAACCAAGTCTTAGCCAAGATCAGACACTGAGTTCAGAGCCTGGTGGTCTGCAGATTCCCAGTCCAGGTTCTGCCCATAGGAAACCCCAGCTCCCACCCTGTATGCAGGGACTTGGTTACAACTCTCTCCCACAGTTCTCTTCCAGTGCCAAATCCAGGCCCATGTGGTACCACTCTTCCCCAGGCAATTAACTGGGTCACCAGCTGCCAAGTCCCTTATCTGCTGCAGGATACAACACTGCATTTGGCAGTGGGAGAAGGCCAGGGCCGGGCCAGTGTGTGCCCATCTCACTGCTTACCACGGCAAAGGCCAGCCGCATGGGCCTCGAATTGTAGATGATGTATCTTCTCACTTGGGGCTCCAAGAGGGCACTCTCCGCCAAGCTCCTGTACTGGTCAGCAGGGACCTGTTAGGCCACCCAAGGGAAAGAGAACAGTCAACCACAGGGCTACTCCACCCCATCCCGCCAGCCTGTTCCCATGGTGGGTGGGGGGGGTTAGGCCGCCCCAGGGGCAGAGTGAGTCCTGGGTGGAAATCACAGGTGCAGGCTCAGGGAGAAACAGCCATCCTGAGAAGGTGAACAGCTTGAGAGCCAGGAGAATCTCAAGGGGTCTGTCCCCACAGCCTGAGACTCAGTACCTTGGGGCAGGCACAGCATGGGCTGACAGTCAAGGCACAGGCCTTGGGAGTCAGGCGGCCCTGGCCCAATGCCCTGCCACTCTTGTGCTGTGTGAACTGGAGCAAGTTACCCCTTTCTCTGAGCCTCAGTTTCCCCCTCTACAAAATGCAGGGAACCCACCTTGTAGGGTTGGGTTCTTATTAAATTAGATCAGACACAAACTGTGCTTGGCACAGTGCCAGGTGCATGGTGACCACCAGATACACAGGTGCTACTGTCAATACTGCAATATCCGCATCCACTAGCACAGCCCAGAGTCCCACATGCTCTCCCTGCCCAAACAAAAGTGTCTGCAGAATGCCCTATGAAAGTAGACCAAGGATAAAGAACTTACCAATTAAAAATTACATTTAGGAACATGGTACAACAATATATAAACTGTACACCAATAAGAAAACTGAACCCGAAGACGACTATGTGAGAAAGATGCTCTTCTGCTTGGTGCAGTGGTGAACCCAGCTACTCAGGAGGCTGAGGCAGGAGGATCTAAAGTTCCAGGCCAGCCTCAGCAACTTAGTGGGGCCCTAAGCAACTTAATAACACTGTGTCTCAAAATAAAAAATGAAAAGGGCTGGGGACGTGCTCGGTGGTACAGTGCCTCTGAGTTCAATTCCCAATTTAAAAAAAAAAAAATCTGTACAAAGGTGGAAAGGAAATGCAGAATGACGAAGCCAATAGGTGCCGACATGATATTAGCTTGATTCGTCAAGTCTTCATCTGATGGTGACCCAATGTTGTTCTGAACAAAAATGCAATTCAGCTTCAAAGAAATAAATTCTGAAATCTTCCGGGTAAATGAGCAGTATGTGCTCCCCATCTGTGCCTGACCAACCTGGCCTTCACAGGAAACCCTCATCCTGCTGGGGTTTGGGAAGGGAAAACCACCCTCTGGCACTTCCCACTTCCCAAGAGCTTCGATTTTTCGATGTGCCAGAGACAGTGCAAATGTTCCTCAGACATGACTTCACTTACTCCTAACTAAACACCAATATAATAGGTATTGATAACTGATAATCTTTTTTAAAAAAATTTTGAGACAGGGTCTCGCTAAGTTGTTTAGGGCCTTACTACATTGCTAAGGCTGGCTTTGAATTTGCGATCTTCCTGCCTCGGCCTCCCGAGCCGCTGGGTTTTGATATTGTCTTAATCTGCAGATGAAACAGACTCAGAGAGGATAAGCTATCTATCCAAATTCACAGAGGCAGCGGGCAGCAGAGCCGGGTCTGAGTGCAGAAGAGGGGGTCTGGGAAGCCCGGGCCTGCGTTCCCTGCATCCGGAGGTGAGTTCACACAAACTTTCCTTTGCCAGCAAGAACAGCCCCCTCTCCTGCAAGGCCCTCCTCCTGCCCACCCGGTGTACTCCCGCTTGTCCTCGAGGCCCCACATCAAGGTCTGCTCCTCGGAGGCTCTCCCAACCACTCACGTGGGCAAGGCTCACCAATCTCCCTGGGCACGTCTTCAATGCTTTGCTGCGTCATTGTGTCCCACAGTCCTGACTCCTACAGTCCTGACCCCTCCAACCCTTGTCCATTTCCCCAGTGGGCTCTGGGAGCAGTGTGAGCTTGGGGTCCTGCTCGCCTCTACACTGCTGAGCCAGCTAGGCGCCTGGCACAGAAGGGACACCCCCAAACACACCTTCAGGAAGTGAGTCCATCAAGAAGACAGGCCAGTTCCCACACACCTTCCTTACGTCACCCACCACAGCAGGCAGGGGGACGTTCATAAATACTTGGAGAATAACTGGGTGAGAGGACAGATGGGTGGATGACGGGTAGACAGACGGATGGAAGGGAAAGCAGTGGGGGCTTGAGGGCTTGGTGAACATAGCACTCGCCTGAATGCCCCAGGTCTGCAGTTGCTCCTCTGCGGTTCCCAGGTCGAAGGCCATGGGTGCACAGGTATTGTCGACCCGGAGGACGGTGAGGACCTGGCCGTTGTGGAGCTCTGAGAAAAGAGCAGAAAGAAGCCTCATCTGGCTGCACCAGAGCCACCTCGGAGGAGGCCAGAAACGAAGGCATCCCCCCACTGGCTGTGAGAACCTTCTCATGACAAGGAAGGACACGGCTGTCCTCAAATCCCTAAGGACTGGACTTGATTGGGAAGCCCCAGGGAGACAGTACTGAGGCCACAGCAAGGAAGCCACTGGGATACTACGTGAGACAAGGCAAGGAAGACCTAACCTCCCCAAAGGGAAAGCTGTCCTCTCAAAGAAAGGGTGGGTGAGTCCCCATCACCAGGGCCACTTAAACAGCGACTGAACAACCAACATTGAGGGGAACGATGACATCAAGGGGATTACGTAGCAGACGCTGACTCCGGCACTGCAAAGGAAGCTTGATAAATGTCTCCTGAATTCCTAGCTGCCTCCCAGTTAGCGACAACCAGCTATGACATGGAGAACAAGGGCCCAGAGGACATCCCCACCCTAACTCCCTAAACCTGTGAATATGCTGCCTTCATGGCAAAAATTAAGATTGCAGATGGCATTAAGGTCACAGATCTTACAAAGAGAGCACATTCAGGACACTCAAGTGGCCCATCATGATCACAAAGACCCTCAAAAGTGGGACAGGCAGGCAGAAGCAGGGGCAGATGTGACAAGGGAAGAAGGAGGAAAGGACATTCATTGGCTTGGGGATGGAGGAAGAGGGCCAAGAGTTAAGGAATGCAGACAGCCTCTAGGAGCTGGGAAGGGAAACATTCTCCCCAGAGCCTCCAGGAAGGAGCGGAGTCCTGCCGGCACCCACTGCGAGCTCAGCGAGCCCAGGGTCAGATTCTGACCTCAGAACCGCAAAATAATACATTTGTGGTTTTGGAGCCTCCATGTTAGTGGCCACTTTGTAACAGGAGCAGTAGAAAATGAACACACTGGCTTCGTGGTGACCTCTCCTGTCTCAGTCTATTTTCTGCTGCTCTAACAGAATACCACAAACTGGGCAAATTCTACATAACAGAGGCTCACGTGGCCCACACACAGTTCTGGAGGCCAGGAAGTCCCAGATCAAGGCATCTGAAGAGCACCTGAAGCAGGGCAAGTGAGCGAGGGACAGACAGGAAAACTGGCCTGCATTCATCCTGCTTATTGGGAACCCAAGAAACCCACTCTTAATAACTCACTGCCTGACAGTGACATGCTCAGTTAGGTCAGGAGGACATGTTCCTGTGGGAGGCCTGGCCTCCAATGAAGCAACGTGCAGGAACAAGGCTCTTCAGAAGCGACCGGGTCACACAGCTCTGGTCTCAGCAGTGAACTGACCCACTGACGGACTCAGAGCCAAGTAATCTACTGGAGGTGGGGGACCTGTATGAGGCGGGCCCTCAATGAAGGGAGCGGGGGTCTAGGGGTTGCCCTTGGAGACTACCTCTCCTCCCAGCCCCAGCCCCAGCCTCCCCCTCCCTCTCTCTGCAGTTCTAGCCCACCGTGCCCTCCCCATCATGATGTTTTGTTTCCCCAGGCCCAAAGCCGAGAATCCAGTGGCCACGGGCTGACATCTACACCACTGTGACCCTGGATAAACCCTCCTCTTCTCAATTGTTTTTCTCAGCACCGCTCGCTCACAGGGGCAGAGCCCACCCGGACCTAATCGCCTCTTAAACGTGCCCCCTCTTCATACTGTTATGGTGCAACTCATTTCAACGTGCTTTTGGAGGGGGCACGCAAAGCACAGCACCCCAAGCACATCTGCCACTCACTCATATGTTAAAGGCACACATTCAGAACTACATGGGGTGGCACACGCCTATAATCCCAGCAACTCAGGAAGCTGAGACTGGAGGATTGCAGGTTTGAGGCCAGCCTAGGCAACTTAGCGAAATCCTGACCCAAAATTAAAAGTGAAAAGGGCTGGGGATGTAGTTTGGTGGTAGAGCATCCCTGGGTTCAAGCCCCAGCGCTGCAAAAATAAATAAATAAATAAACAGAATTATAAGATTAAATCAAAGACTATGCAAATTAGGAAGAGTAGACAGAAACAAAATAAAGGCAGATAATAACAACAGGTTTGGATATTGAGCCCCTACTGTGTACCAGGTACTGGGTGGAGGTTTTTCAGGATTTCACCGACTCCTCTAAGCACCCCAAAGGATGGGTGCCATTAACATAGAAAAGGAAACCAAACCTCTGAAAAGAGGAACTTGCTCTGTGTTAACAGGGAAGGCAGGAGTGGAAAGAAGCAAGAAGGGGAGGAGTGCACCAGACCCAGCACGGCCTGCGACTGACCCACCCCTCCCAGCACACATGGCCCTGTGGACTCCACGCAGGACCCTGAGGCCCTCCCGGGCCTGGCCCTCTGCACAGCAAGTGTGTGCAGGAGCAATGCAAAGAAGTTTCATGGTGTCTGTTTGCCTTCCAAATCAAGAGTTCCGGATTCCTGGCAATAGTATTGCTCATCTGTTCCTTAAAGCAAGCACACCAAGTCCTCCACTTAGAAATACTTGTTTTTACCCTTAGGCTAAGAAAAGCTACCAAAAGGGAAAGGATGCGTGTGTATTCACGTGTGTGCATGCGCACAGGGAAGAGCCCTCTTCCCACAGAGGAGCAAGAACTGGCTTGCCCAGGCTCAGTGGAGCAGCGTCTTTAATGTCCTGAAGGAAAGCTGCCCCATTCCACTCCATTCCCATTCCGGGGCTGTAGGTGCATGCCTAGGAACTGCTTCCCTAACGACTGGGGTAATAGAAGAAACCCTTGTTTTAAGCAGCCAGGTTTCAGACCCGTTAAGGAACCAGCCACACTCCTGTGGCCTTCACACGAAATGGAGCGCTGCTCCCCCTTGCCTGTCCCAGCCACTCGTTCCACCTTTTATTCAACCAAAGTGTTTATTGAAGATCCACAATGGGCCAAGCCATGGGCTGGGACCACAGACACACAGAGGCCCTGCCCTCCTGGAGCTTACATTCCAGAGGGGAGGCTAGACATGCAATGTTCATTACTCAGATAATTATTTACAGACTGTAGTAAGTACAACAGGGAGGAAAATACATCAGAAGAGCATATCAGAGGGTACTGACTGGGGCAAAGTCATCCGGAAGATTCCTCATAGGACGGATATTTGCACTGAGCTCTGAAGGGTGAATAGAAACTAAGCAATGGAAAGTAGGCAGGGACAAAGTAAAGAGGCAGAAGAAACAGGATGTACAAAGGCCCTGAGGCAGAACAGCATGGCAAAGAACAAAGAACAAGGGCAGCAACAGTCATTAAGACAGACCTTGCAAGCTGGCAAATGACAGGTTTTCATGTCAGGCCAAATGGGAAACCCTGAAGTAGAAAGTGACCCAGCTGCATGTGTATTTGAAAAAGATCTCTCCTGCTGCCAGGGAGAGACCAGAGGGACAGGAAGGAGAAGATCAGTTGAAAAGCAGAGGATGATGACAGGAGATGGTGATGGAGTGATCTGGGCAGAAACGGCAGAAGGCAGCCGGACGTGGTGGGGCACACCTGTAATCCCTGCAACTCAGGAGGCTGAGACCGGAGGATCACAAGTTCAAGGCCAGCCTCAGAAACTTTGTGAGGCCCTATCTCAAAATTAAAATTAAAAAGGACTGGGGGTGGGGCTGGGGATATGGCTCAGCTGGCATAGTGCTTGCCTTGCATGCACAAGGGCCTGGTTTCCATCCCTAGCACCAAAAAAAAAAAAAAAAAAAAAAAAGGACTGGGGATGTAGCACAGTTGCAAAGGACCCCTAGGTTCAATCCTCAGTACCAAAAAATAAAATAAAACAAAACCTTCTTAGAAGGCAGCCTGGAAATGTACTCCAAGGTCACCCACCCTTATCTAAAGAATGCTCTGTGACCCATCCCTGCCCCTAACCTAGAATGCTAGGTGAGTCCAGTTCCGAGGAGCCTCAGGGAGGAGGAGAGAATGAAGGGTCCTTACCTTGCCCCCACCCAGGAGGGCCTCCCGGCTGCAGGGCGCTCCAGCCAGGGGAGGAGGTGGGCAAAGGGCCGGCCGCCCCGCCGGGGTCCATCTGCGGTTCACAGGCCATGGCCAGAGCCAGCTGGGCTTCTACTTCCCCTTCCTGGGGCTGCGGCTCATCCTGGAACAGCCGACTAGGCTTCACTCACCTTCAGAAAAGAGCACAAGAAGGAACCTCAGGCCTGGGCCCAGGCTTCCTGGAGCTCTGGGAGGCCAAAGTCACCAAGGCCCATGAGAGTCTTTTTGCTGACTCTAGTCGTCCTGATGATGCCGAAGAAACTTCTTGGAGGGAAGATGAGGAACTAAAACATGCCCCCAGGCCAGGCCTTGGCTGAGAACTTCCCTTCTGGTCAGGGGCCTTCTCCAGCTCTTACTCCAGAGCTGACCAGGCCCACTCAGTTACCCTCACTGAGCAAGCCCAGGTAACCAGGCATGAGGCAGGCACATCTGTCACAGGAGCCTTGTTTACACCAAGGATCTCCCCCAGCTTCCCACAGACATGGCCAAGACACACAGGGCAGGGGCGGGGGCGTGGTCAGTGGTAAAGTGCTCGCCCAGCATGCATGAGGCCCTGGGTTCCATGGCCAGCTCTGGGAAACTCAGGGGAAAATCAGGTGATGGGAAATTCAAATCTAGTAGGTAAAAATACCTAGGTTCCCACATGGACTCCAGAGCCAGGCTCACTGGGTAAATGGCAGGCTCACCCCTCCACCTTGGGCAAGATCAACCTCAGAGCTTCAGCTCTTCCAATCACAGAACCTTCCCTGCAGGGTAGCTGCAAAGACTCAATGGGTGATTCGCATGAAAGACACACAGCAGCATTGGAACAAAGAACCTATCCCATGAATATCAGCTCTACCAAAAAAAAACCAAAAAGCCGGTGCAGTGGTGCACACCTGTGATCCCAGCAGCTCAGAAGGCTGAGGCAGGAGGATTGCAAGTTCAAAGCAGCCTCAGCTGACAAAAGCAACTCAGTGAGACTCTGTCTCTAATAAAATATCAAATAAGGCTGGGGATGTAGCTCAGTGGTCCAGTGCCCCTGAGTTCAATTCCCAGTACCCCCCCCCAAAAAAAAACCTTTTCTATTGCTATTTTGAGATTTAACACAGTTGCTATTCCTAAGTCAAGAATTTAGTTTTGAAAAAAAAAAAATTTAGTTTTGAGCTTCCAGACAGCCAAAGCAAACATGCAAATGCTGTCAATAAAATAGTCATCTAGAAATAGGAAAAAAAAAGATAGTGTAGTGATCAATGTGCCTTCCTGGCTACAACCCATCTTGGAAAGGCTTCTAAGGCCTCCAGGGCCAGGTCACTGAGAGGATAGCGGGTATCACCCTTGGCCACCTTCATAGGCAAAACACAGGGACCCACTGGTGGATGTTTTCCTTGGTAAAAACCTGAATCTGCAGGCCGTCTGCTATGACTGCAACCTGCACTGTTCACCTCTGTTATGTGTCCAGCCGGGAACCTGAGAATCGCCCCTTGCCAAGGAAAACTATGCCAGAATCCCAGGGGATGGCACAGCAGCCCTGCTAAATGCCTTGATGAAAAAGTCCACTAAAGTTGTATTTGTATAGGAGTGATACTGGGGATGGAATTCAGGGGAGCTCTGCTGGTAAGCCACATCCCCAGCCCTTTGTTGAATCTAGCCTCAAACTGTGATCCTCCTGCCTCAGCCTCCCGAGTTGCTGGGATTATAGATGTGCACCAGGGTGCCCAACAACTAGAATCTCCTTTTTGCTACCATGGTTGGCGATATTGGGGATGACACAAAGTTCCCAGTCGATACACATGTGCTTGATTCCAAGCTGGACCCAGGACACACTGCCACTGTGTCAGGGGAAGAGCCTGATCCTCCTGTGCTCACCACCTTCTGTTCTCTCAGTACTTTTTAACAGAAACAGCTACGCAATTTGTGAGGCCCAGTACAAAATGAAAATGCAGGGCCCCTGGTTCAGAAATGGTGAAGGGTTGCAAAATGTTGATAGCAGAACGTCAAGCCAAATTTGGGGACTTTCCTAAGTAGGGCGCCTGGAGTGACTGTGGAGGTTACATGCACTTGAAGCTAGTCCTAATGTTAAGCTGCAGAAAGTCATTTGGGAGCCCCTTCTCCCAACCAAGAATATATAAAAGATGCGCTTTTAACTAACAATTCAATCTGCCTGTGCCACACTCAAATGCCACAAAGCAACAAAATGTGAGGAAAAGACTGAAGACCTTGGAGCCAGAAAGCCTAAACTCAAATCCCTGCTCAGTCATTCACACGCTGTGACATTCGCTGCCGAGGCACCCAGCCTGAGCGCTGCTGCTGTCACCTGTAAAATGGGGGTGCGGGGCCTACTTCATTAAGCTGCTATGGGATGTGACAGCAGATGCCAAATGACCTCCAGTGGTCCACCCACCATGAGGCCCCTTTCCTCAACACGTTTCTCCTGCTTCACAGGCAACAAAACTGAGGTCACATGTGTGAAGTGATCTGTACAAAGCTGGGTGTCTAACAGCCAAGAAATCAGAGAAGAGCTCCCGCTATCCAGCTCTGGAGTCCAAGGCCACAGTTCCCAGGCCTTTGCACCTTTGGACCCTGGTCTGACTGTCTCTTCCTGAAACTGCCTTTAAAATGAGGGGTCAGGGCTGGGGTTTGGGCTCAGTGGTAGAGCGCTTGCCTAGTGTGTGAGGCAGCAGGCTCGATCCTCAGCACCACGTAAAAGTAAATAAAGGTATTGTGTCCATATACAACTTAAAAATATATTTTTTAAAAAATGAGTGGGTCAGGAGAGACTGCATTTCCCAGGCCTGATCTAGAAACAAATTCCACTCAGATGGAAAGCTCTCTGCTGGGAGGGCAGGGTCTCCCCTCATTACCTAACCTGAGTCCTGGTCTACAGCAACACTCATAAATCTGACAAGCATTTACCAGCCAATCATATCCTGCCTCACTACCTTCCTCTTACTTTGTACCCCAAGAGGCATGAAAGCAACAAAAATAGATGAACCCACAACCAATGAAGCCCTTCTCTGCTTAACTTGATCACCGACTAGGCCCACAAGGCAAAGAATATCCCATCCACCCAGGCTCCAGACAAAACCCAGGGACCCTGCAGCTGGGAGCCTGTAAGTCAGAGGAACTGCTCTGGAGTCTCAGAAAAGCCTGGCAACCTAGTATCAAGGAGGAACCACACAGGAGCTGGAGTTGCTGAAATCTGAGGTCTCCTTTCAGACTGCACAGGAGGTTCCATTAGTTGCAAAATCCCACAATGAGGCACTGTCTTTCCAGAGTTGGGGGAAGGGGTGTGGGCGGGGAATCACAGCACCCTAGTTGGTCTATCAGCCACCTTCGGAGTCCCAATCAGCAGGCTTCATTCATTCACCTGAAGCTGTTCTCTGATGGCTAAAAGTAACCTGCCCAGTCCTACTACTTCCCACCTGTGTGACCTTGAGCAAGTTACTGGACTTCTCTCTGCCTTGGTATCCTCATGTGTCAGCGGAGATAATGGTGGTGACTTTAGACTGTTGTGAGGTTTAGCTTTCACAGGCATAAATCACTCTGAATAGCACTGGGAAGCAGCTGAAGGAATATAGCCCTAAGAACCTTCTAGGGCCAGGCCCTGAGCATGAGACCAGAGATAAAAATCTGAAGTCCCTGTCCAGTCCTCCCTGCTGAGGATCACTATCTGAGGGAAGGACAAACTAAGAAAGAAAATTACCGGACAAGTAGGGAACAGGAGGGAGCTTTGAGGTGGGAAGTGTTCTCCAGGCTTCCTGGGAGAGAAGGGGGCTCCTTGGCTTGGCAAAGGTGAGGGGGAGAGAAGCTAGTGAGCAGGACCTGCCCATCAGGGGAGAGTAGGGCTGCTCCTGCCCCCCACCCCCAGCATCTTAGGCATCCAGATCCAGAGGTGGCAAAGGACAGGAGGGGAGCTGGCAAGACCCCAGGGGCAGAAACTAAACTGTCACCCAGAGCGCTGTATGAGGGCCCCCTCCCACTCAGCCCGGCTTCAGTCCCAGGTGACAGTGGGAGAGTCCGACACCAGGATGGAGGCGCACTGAGGGAGGGAGCAGAGCTTTGGGACTCCTGCCACTAGTTCCAGAGTCCTGGCCTCTGGGCTCCCTCTGGGGATTCTGTGGCTAACCAGACCTTCCAGGCCCCCGCGCACCAGCTGGATGCCCAGAGGTCCCTAGCTCTGTTGACACCGCAAGAGCGATGTTCTGGCCTGAGATTCCTCACAGGGAAAGAGAAACGACCCCGTTTTCCTCCCTCGGGTCAGGTTTGTTTGTGGAACTGGAAATTCTACAAGAGATCACAGGAGGGCCCGCCCCAGAAGTTTTGGGGTGGACAAGCCTGGAGTAAATGAGACAAAGCTCCCCATTTTACAGATGCGGAAATTAAGACTCGAAAAAGAAAGTGAGCCATTCGGGATCAAGGCGCCAGTCGGGGACGGAGCTAGAACTGAAACCCCGGCTCCTCCAGGCCCAGGAGGTCCCACAGAACGTGGTGGCCGTGGCCTGGGCAGCGGTGCCTTGCCCTGGTCTCTGCCCTTCCATCTCGTCCAGGTCTGCTGCCTGGCGGTGGGCGGGGGTCTTTTTCACCCCAAAAAACACCCCCGCCCCAGTCCGCGGGCTCCGGGCCGACCCGGGGAAGGGCCCCAGGAGCGCGCTGCATCTCGGAGTCGCCGAGCCAGCCCGGCCCTGGGCGCGAGCGCAGGCCGAGACGCCGGCGCCGCCCGGCACCAACCCGGGACCGCGGGCGCACGGGCGCGCGCACACTCACCGCCGCCGCCGCCGCCGCCGCCGCCGCCCGGAGACGCGGAAGGTCGGGGGCGCCGCGCCCCTCCGCGCCGCAGCCTCCCGACGCCACCGGCCCGCGCCCGCCCGCCCCAGCGCGCGGCACCGCCCTCCCGGGCCCGCCCCCGGCCCCCGCCCGTCACCCCACCGGGAGGAGCCGCCCGCCGGGCCCGCCGCGGGCCTGGAGGGAACGCGTGCCGGGCCGCGGAGCCCAGCTGGGAGGCGCGTTTCATCAGCCCGACTACCCAGGGACGCCAAGGGCCTCCGCGCCCACCGCGGCGTCGGGACCTGGGGCTCTGCGGTGCACCCCGCGCCGGGACCTACGACACGTTTCCCCGGTAAAGCAGCGGCGGACCTGGGAGGTCAAGTCCCCCATGACACAAGTCACAGGGTCCCGTGGATGAGGCAGTTTAAGGGACCAGAAGTTATCAGGGACCTGTTTTTAATGAAAAATTAGGAGTTTGGGGATCAGGCTGCCTGAGCTCCAATCCAGGCCTCTCCACTAATTATATCATCTTCGTAAATAATGTAACCCTCCCGCCTCTTGTTTTCCTAAAAATCATTAATTATAACGATGTCATAGGGTTGTGTGAAGATTTAATGAGATAATCTCTGTGAGGTGTTCGAAACAACCAGTCACCTTGTTCTGCTGGTATTCACAAGGGCTACCTACTGTGTCAGCCACCACCCCCTCCATCATCACTCAAAATTGCAAAAGGGTCTGCAGTGAAAAGTTAGTGCCCCCTCCCCTGAGTAGAGCACTAACCTTGAGTATTTTTTCTTAGAGCCCACAAGTAAGTACTTGTCTTTACAGCAGATTCTGTTTTACGGGGGATCCTGCTCTTCCATTCAACAGAGTTCCTGGCTGGGTATTCATCTCCACTCTGCTTTCTTTTGAAGGGGTTCATAAACTTCCATGCCGTGTAGAAAGGGTCTTTCCTGGCCCCTTCTTCTTTGTGGACACGTTGGGTGGTTCTCTCTCCTGCTGACTGAATGTGCTGGATGCTCAAGGTCACATTGTTGCAGGCACGCCACAGCCTGCATTTCTACAGGGGGGTTTCCACACATTTTTAATTTCAGCAGATGCTGTCAGATTGTTGGGGGGACCCTCAGACCACAGGACTACTGGCTGCAAGTTCAGCCAGCCCAGAAGCAGAGTGCCTGGAGGCAGGGAGCTGAACTTGAAAACCTAAATGTCAGACAGACAGCTCCCAGGCTCCCTCATTCACCAGGCAAGTGAGGGTCCAGGCAGTGGGCTGCTAAACATGCAGTTAATTTATTTTTGGCATTGGGGGCTGGGGATATAGCTCAGTTGGTAGAATGCTTGCCTTGCATGCACAAGGCCCTGGGTTCTAATCCCCAGCACCACAAAAAAATAAAAATAAAAAGAAGTATCAATCATCATTTGGTCTGGGGCTGTGGCTCAGTGGTAGAGCGCTCGCCTAGCATGTGTGAGGCACTGGGTTCAATCCTCAGCACCACATAAAAATAAAATAATAAAACTGGCATTGAGTACCTGCTGAATTATATAGGCATTATATTGGACAGTAGTGAGCAATTTAGGGGCATGGAAAGAAGTGACCCAAGGATGTAGGAGCTTTACTAAATGCTGATAGGATGTTGAAAGGGATCCTGCAACGAGGATCCCCATCTCGCTAAACCCTGCCTCTCCGCCAAGGCCTAAGGCCTACCCCCTCCATAAGGCCAGAGCTAGTCCTCTGGTGCTTCTGGCCGGGCTGCCTTCACACTTCATCCTTACTGCTGGTCACTTCACCATGATTCATGTTGACACATCAGCGTCCACACCACAGAGACAGAAGAGCCAGCCAACCAGGCTCTAATAACTGACAGGTGAACTTCAATCTCTTTATGGAAGGGAGATACTGCCTGCCCAAGTGGGAGTCTGAAATGGCGAGGTGCCGAGCAGAATGTAGTCCATAAAAGTGAGGTGCATTCTTGGCAAGCAAGGCATCGTGTGTGTTGCATCCCTGAACCTCCTGCATGTGACAATCCTGGCACTATGCCCAGAGGGAGTGGGAGCTCCGTGTAGAATGGAGAAAGGGCAATAAAATCCCAAAGTTGGAAAGCCGACGTCAGCTGTCAGCTACAACAGCTTGATGGACTCACAAGGGCCTTTGTGGTGATCTCAAGCTGCTCCCCACCCCAGCCTACCCAGAACTGACCTTTACCCACCCTCCCCACCAAGTCCCTCAATACCCGAAGCTCCAGGATCACAGTCTCTCAGTTCCTCCTACACCTCATGTTCTCTCTCACTTCCAGTTCTGTGGTTGCCATCCCCTGTCCATCTGGAAGGTTATCTCCAAACCCTATCCCCACCTCAGCACCTGACTAACCAGCTCATTCTCAGGGCTTAGCCCTTTCCTGACCCAGGCAGTCCCTCTTCTCACTCATCTAACCTACACCTATATCCTCTCACATGGTGTGGTCATTGACACTTCTCCTTTCCCAAAAAGAGAATGAACCTTTTGGACACAGGCTGCTGCTGCCCTTGGGCAGAGCTGTCCCAGCACTCTGCCCTCAGCAGGTGTTAAATGCATCTGCTGCAGGGAATGAACACACACAATGAAATTAGAAGGGCCTCAACTACAGGCAAATCCAAATAACCAGGAGCCCCAGCCTTAGCCACTCTTCTCAGAAGGCTCTCCTCTCCCTGCTGTGTTTACAGCAAGGGCTACAGACTCCTGTCTGAGGACTAGCAGCCAACACTACTTGGCAACCTGGATGAAGTAACAGAATGAATTTCTTTCCAGCCTGGCAGAACCTTAAATTGTTGCAGCAGATGGTAGAGGAGGGAGCCTCAGGACTGTTGGGTGAGTATGTGAAAGGCAAAGATCAAAAACTAGATCTTGTGTTTTGGAATTGGTCTGCCAATTACATATTCACTGACTTTTAAAAACATCACTTGACACGAAACGTAGCCACAGCCTGTACAAACTGAACTAAATCATACAGCAATTCAGGCTAGGAAGTCAAGCATACCCAGGTTCAAATACAAGCTTTGGCACTAATTAGCTGTGACCTTGTGCAATCGACTTGATCTCTCTAAGCTTCAGTCTCATTATAAAATAGAAAAAATAATATCTACCTCAGAGAGGTGGTGAGAGAATTAAGTTATGAATATAAAGCACCTTGAATTGTTATGGATGTTCTTCAATGTGAACTACTTAAAAATTATTTCCAAAAATGTGTCTTAAAGAAACTTCTATGGCTAGTGACTCCATGAGATCCATTTCAATTCCTGGAATTCACATCACCAAATAATGAATTCATCTCCAGGATATCCATGATGTAGGTTGACAGCACCTGAGAGCTTGGGACTCAAACACACAGCTGTCCTTGTCAGGAGGTGTGCTGGGGTTAACACAAATCACATGCTGGTTATTAGAAAACTGTGTCAAAACCAGAAGAAAAATGACTCTGAATTCCTGTCAGAAGGCCAACAATCCATCCAGGGGGTGTCAAGGGTCTGTTTCTACACTATATACAGAAAGATAAGTGCCAGGGACAGGAATAAAGGGTAGGGTGGAGCATTGGGAGAGAAGGGAAGGACAACAGAAGGTAACTGGGCTGGGCACAGTGGCACACACCCATAATCCCAGCTTCTCAGGCGTCTGAGACAGTAGGATCCCAAGTCTGAGGCCAGCCTCAGCAACTTAGTGAGAAACTGTCTCAAAATATAAAGGGCTGGGGATGTAGTTCAGTGATAGAGTGCTTGCCAGCATGCACAGGATCCGCTGGGATCAATTCCCAAAACTCAAATAATAATAATAATAATACAAAAAAGGAAATTGAGCTTTTAACTAGAGAACTAGATTGTTTTCTCATCCTTAAAAACATAAGACAAGGGCTGGGGATGTGGCTCAAGCAGTAGCGCGTGCTCGCCTGGCATGCGTGCGGCCAGGGTTCGATCCTCAGCACCACATACAAAGATGTTGTGTCCGCCAAATACTAAAAAATAAATATTAAAATTCTCTCTCTCTCCCTCTCTCTCACTCTCTCTTAAAAAAAAAAAAGAACATAAGACAACAGTAGGCAACCCAATCATGCACCCTGCACCCCAGCCAGCTCCTCTCCTGATCTTCAACTGCTGCCATCTGTTCTAAAACATTGCCACTCTTCCCTTTATAAATTATTTTCAAGAAGAAAGGGGGGTTGCCTGTCCCCCGATTCTCCAAGCCTACCCCTCCCCATCAATCATCCCCACAAACACAGTAAACCATGGCCTTCACTTCACACTTGACCTAGGAGCCAGTCAGTGTCATTTAAAGTTAAAAGCCAGAGAAGGCAGATGTTGACATCATGATCTGTCAGCTTCCTCTCCCCAAACCACTAGACTGGCCAAAACATTCAGTAAACAGCGTGCCTAGCCGGTCTCTTAAGACCTGCCTATTTGCTCAGGGAAGAGAAACAAAAGCAAAACTAGAACTGCCTGCTTGTATGGAAGCTATTTCAGTCAGTCATTTCACTGAAGTGACGAGAGATCAGTCGACAGGAGGAAAACACTCTGACACCTGCCAGATTATCTCTGAAGGAAAGGAAAAAATAAAAGGTGAAAAATGAGGGCCCTGTAGAAATCATCAAAGCACATCCTTTCCATCAGACGACTGAAGTTGACTTCCAGCACCATCAATCTTCTTGAGTAGAAAGGCCAAATAGGCCAGAATGAAAAAGAAAAGCAGAATGTTAGTTGCAGGCCTCACTCAACCAGTCCCAGAAGCTCATCAGGGTTAGAGGAAGCTCAGTACCCCACAGCCTCAGACAGAGCACGGTAAGTTTTGTTTTTCTGGTGCTAGAGCTGAACCAGTGCCTCCAGCCCACATGCTAGGCAAGTACTCTCTATTTTGAGACAGTCACCCTAAATTACTCGAGCTGGCCTTGAACTTGTGATCCTCCTGCCTCAGCCCCTACAGTAGCTGGTATTACAGGCAAATACCACCACACCCAGCAAACAAGGCAAGTTTTTGCTTGCAACCTGCAGGCTGCCCTTGACATCAGACTGACACTTCTTTGCTCTGTGACCTTAAATATCCTCTAAGCCTCTGGGCCTCAATTTCCCCATCCAGAGAAGTAGAATTATAATGCCTAACCTGCAGGGCTGTATAAAGTGCCCAGAACATAGGGATGTAGGTCAGTGGCAGAGTGCTTTCCTAAAATGTGCAAGGTCCTGGGTTAATCTCCAGTACTGCAAAACTAAAATTCCGAAATTGAAGTGCTCAGAACACAATAAGCCTCCCTCACTAGACACATGCAGAGATTTGATTAGGGGCCTCTGATGAGTTACTTCACCTTTCTCAAGTTTTTCCCCTATCAGTGATGGGAGTGGCTATTCAGGGAATTTGTGTAAGATGTTACCCACAAGGTTGCACAATGCCTTACTGTAAGCTATTTTATGCTGTCCATCAGGAAGAACTTGAGTAAGTCTGAGCCATGGCACGGAATGGAATGGTAGGTTTTTTTTTCTTTTTTGGGGGGATGGGGGGGTGGGTTACTGGGGATTGAACTCAGGGGCACGCAGCCACTGAGCCACATCCCCATCCCTATTCTGTATTTTATCCAGAGACAGGGTCTCACTGAGTTGCTTAGCACCTCACTTTTGCTGAGGCTGGCTTTGAACTCACCATCCTCCTACCTCAGCCTCCTGAGCTGCTGGCTGTGATCACAGGCGTGCACCATTACGCCCAGCTCGAATGGTCAGTTTTTAGGCTTGTAACAAGCAATACTAGGAACACCCTCCACTCCAGGCAACTGTAGAACTGCCCAATGTGCAATTCAGGAGCATCCATTCAGAAACTGGAGGTCAAGAACCACATGGATGAGATACAGTGAAGGAACAGTTACGAAGCGTAGTCCTGAAAGCATGCAGAGACTCTAAAGATGCTAAGGAAACTTGGCTCTTCCACTGCGCGTCCTTGGGCTGCTTCCTTAACCCCTCTCTGCCTCAAATCCAGTAAGAGTCGCTGAGGATTCAGTTGGTTAGTATAAATGCAGAAGTTTCTAGAACACTAGCTGGTAGATAGAAAGCTAATGGGTGTAACTCAGTGGTAGAGGACCTAACCTGTGCAAGATCCTAGCACCATAAAAAAGAAAAAGAGGGATAGAAGCAACAATTTTTACTCCCTGAATGTCCATAGTCCCCCCTTATTGCACAGTCTTCCTTTCAATTAGGTTGGTCACATCACTCACATTGGTCAATGGGCTAAGAGCAAGTGTCATGTGTCATTTAAGGGCTGCAGCATACAAGAGTTGATGTCTGTGTCAACTTTTTCTTCCCATCTCTGCAATCATGAAAATGATGTGCTGAGATGGTAAAGCTACCAAGGTTCCTTGATGCTACCCAACTTACATCATCCTTGGCAAGAAACAAACCTCTGTTGTACTGTTAACTAAGGAAGCATTTGCTGAGCACCTGGAATATTCAGGCACCATATGTAGTGCTTTGGTTTTTGTATTTATCATTTTCTTTTTGCTTTAGAATAGTTCTAGTCTGGGGACACTTTTGGATCCTAGGGATATTTGGCACCGTCTGGGGGCATTTTTGTTTGTCACAACTGGAGAGTCCCTTACTGGCATTTAGTGGCTAGAGAATAGGGTCTCTGCTCAACAGCCCTACTGTGGATTAAATGCATAAAAATAAAAAGCCTCCCTTTGAGGCCCTGACCCTACCTCCTTTTCCAGAGATAAACATTCTTCTGACATTTCTTCTACTTCCAGATATACTCTGCTTATAGGCACTTGTATGTCCTTTCTAGCCTTTTTTACCCAGGTGGAACAAATCACACACTGATCTGTATAGGTATACTCAAGTTCATTCCACATAATCACCACCACGCCTGCCTCACCCTCTCTGCTCTCTGGTAAAGTGCCTTACAGATGCCAATTTCTCAGGGAAGACCATAACATAAGCCCTTTCTCTGAGAATTCCCAAGGGTTTTAAGAAAACCTTAGCTCAGGCCCCACCCCCAGAGATTCAACGGACTAGGAAGGACCAGAGCACCTACCAGTTCCCTGGGGAATAACCAGGACTGAGAACTACAATGAATCTGTCTACCTACGTACTGGATCTCAAGGACTTTATACCACTCTGGGACCTCACTCTTCCCAGACCTTCTCAATTCTCTTTTCCCTCCCTTCCAGCATTTAAACATGCTACCACTTCCCTCCAGCCAGCGGCTCCATCAGCGACCCCCACACCTCTCCTCCTCACAATCACACCTCCTATGTTCACTTTTCAAATCAGTTAGGTCAGTCAACTCTTTAACTTTTGTCTAACCAGCACACTCCTCTTGAAATATTCCCCTTTTAGCTTGTGAGTAGCAATACTGATCTGCTTGGCTCAACCCTACTAATCCATCAACATATTGAGGACAAGGTTAAAAAAAAAAAAAAATGGGTCTAAGGGGGGTGGGCAGCTCGGGTGATACAGTACTTGCCTAGCATGTGAAAAAGCACCAAAAAGGTGGGGAGGGCTTCAAACCAGTGAATATAAGTGTTGATTCACATTCTTCCACTGGGAAATCTGTATTGGCGGAGGTATAAGTGGAGGTTAGAACTGCTATGCTCAGCAATGCCAAGCATGAGGCCTTAACAAACTTGAGTACAGTTTGGAACATGTTAAAATGGAGATGTTTATTAGACACCCAGGTCTAAATGTCAAATATGCAATTTGAAGACTGGAGTTCGAGAAAAATGGGATAAATATGTAAATCTTCAACATAACGTATTTTAATCCTCGAAATGAGAACCAGGCATGGTGGTGAAGGCCTGTAATCCCAGTGACTTGGGAGGTTGCCGCAGGAGGTTCTCAAGTTCCAAGGCCAGCCTCAACAACTTAGAAAGACACTGTCTCAAAATAAAATTTTAAAAGGGTGTAGCTCAGTGATAGAGCCCCCAAGGTCAATCCCCATACCACAAAAATAAATACATAAGAATGAAAGAAATGAAATGAAATAAAGGTGTTCTCACCAAGGAAATGTAGAGAAGTCCAAACACACAACCTTGGGAAGAAATGAGCAATCAGGAAGAAACTAGAAGAAGCACACCATTGCATAACGGAAGCAAAGAAAATGATCCAAGGGAGAAGTGGTCAAAACTTGACTGAAGATCAAGCAGGAAAAGCATGTATTTCTCAATACGGACGTCACTGCTGGATCTGACAGTTTCAGCAAGACTGGAGTATTTTAAACAGTATTTTAAACAAAATTGAAAAGCTCATACAGTAAACCCTTCTGAGGCCTTCAACTCTAAAAAGGAACAGAGAAATTGGAATAGTAACTAGAGAGAAGTGGCCTAAGATTTAATCATCCTGAAGCACTTGAGACTTTTTTAAAAAATACCATCAACTTATTTCATACTGTTTTAGAATAAGCAAGGAAATCCCCCTATGTTCTGTTTCAACTGTCTCTACCTCAGAAATTATTCTGCAAACAAAGAAAGATTGTCAGCTTACACAGGGCACAGGGCATTCAACTCTTAAGAGCTAATGAAGTCACTACAGTATTTCCCACATCATTTAGCCCACCAGGAAAGAAAGGTGCTCAGTAACTTGCCCAAGGGACCCACCACAGGTCCCTCAAAGAAAAGGCAAACACCAGACTCCTTGTTATTTATCAAGAACAGTTAGAAGGTGAAATCATGAGTAATTTTCTCCCTGCTAAAAACGTACACCTTGAATGTTTTCTAATTATGTATGTAAATGTGATGCCTATGTTAATTTCCTGGTGAAATTTCACACAACATCTGGGCCAAAGTGTATTTTGCATTATCAAAAAGGATGAACCAGAAGAGGTAAAATGTATGGCAAAGTCTTTACTTTTAAATGATTATCATCACACCAAATAATAACATGTAACAAATTCTTGAGTCCTATCATCTAATAATTTTGATTAAAATAAACTAACAGCAGCCCAAACAAGTATGTTAGTATTCATTGTTCTAATCCTTAGTCAGAATGGACGACTTTAAGGCTGGCTGCTGCTTCAGACAAGTTACAAATAACTATTTACTACTTTTTCATAGATAAAGCCCCTGACCTTCAAGAAAGTATAAGGGAAAAAAATTATTTAATCCCTTTCTTTCTTCAAAGAATTGTTTTTTTTCTACTAGATCTAAGAAAGAAAAAGTCAACATTGATACATCCATTGCTTGAGCTAGAAGGCATAGGAAAACAACAACACATACTCAGTAAATTCCTAAGAAGGATGAGGTAAAAAGATGACACCTTTGGATAAGGACTAAGGCTGTACAAAGAAGCTAGATTTGCTACTCTCCAAAAGGGACCTACTATATCATAGAGAAATAATTTAATGCCTTTCTAAGAACAGAACCCAGGCTCTGCTAAAGCTCCACATTCCTCAAGGCACTTCACGTTCTGAAGTGCTAACCAGGGAATAGGTGCTTCTTTCTCCTATCCATTTATGCGGTAGTTTTCATGGATTTCTGGTCGGATGTCGCAGACAAAAGCCAAGAGATTATCCAAGACTTCGTCCCTGTTCTGCCGGAAGTAGGTTTGCAGGATGGTCATCTTTTCCTGGGTCTCCTTCTCCACTTCAGTGCTGCAGCTGCCATGGGATCCCAGTGCCTGGAGCGGAGATGTAACAACACAGGGAATACCATTCAGTAAGCAATGAGCTAACTTCTGGAGAAACCCAAGCACATCAATGAATAAATCAGTAGTAGGTGCTGTGACCCTGCGACTGAAGACCAGGTGAGGAAACAGGCCTTCCCACGCAGAGTTAACAGGGAACTACATCCAGCAGAAAGCAAGCTGCAGAGCAGCTCCACTGCCAGGAAGTCACCCCAAAGACACAGCCACACTTCTCCAAGGTCCATCATATAGCCTTAACTAAAGACTAGAATCAACCTAAAGACTCAATGCTACAGGCATGGTGGCACAGACCTGGGATCCTAGCATCTTAGGAGGTAGGAGGATCACTTGAGCCCAGGAGTTCCAAACAGAAAGACTCAACAACCAAGGACTGGTTAAATCACAGAGCTTCTACACAACAGAATACTGTTAGCCAGGCAGAATAGTGCAAGGTGTAATCCCAGCGACATAAGAGGATCACAAGTTTGTGGCTCACCTCTGTAACGTAGTGAGATCCTGTCTCAAAATGAAAAAAAAAAAGAGGACTGGCGGGGGGGGAGCGGGGGCTGGGGATATAGCTCAGTTGGTTGAGTGCTTGCCTTGCATGCACAAGGCCCTGAGTTCAATCCCCAGAACCACCAAAAAAAAAAAGGACTGTAGCTCAGTAATAAGAGTGCCCCTGGGTTCAATCTTTACTACCACACACACACACACACTAAATAAACAAACAAATGGAAGAGAATACTGCTCAGCAATATGAAATGAACTGCAAAATATGCAGTTAAGGGAGAGGAGAAGCAAGACATAGTATCAGTGTAATTAGTATTCATATATTTTTGCTGTGGTTTTAAAAAGTGGGAAGCATTATGTTGTTTTTTTTTTAAAAAAAAAAAAAAACTATAATAAACACAAGGAAGATAAAACTTAAGAGGAATATACAAGGAGGTTTACCACCACTGATGTTTTAACTCTAAAGTTCAGCAAATTCACCAATTGAATTTGACATGAATATGACAGCTGTTCTTTCAAATATACCCAAAAGAAAACAAAAAAGAGTGTGAGGCAGGAGGATTGGAAGTTTGAGGCCAGCCTCAGAAATAAAACTTAAAATGGTAAGTGGCAGGGCTGGGGATGTCACTCAGTGGTAAAGTGCTCCTGGATTCAATCTCCAATACCAAACAAAAACACCACCAGCAGTGACTTGCTTTGAGGAGGATCCAAGGCTAGGTGAGAGGGAAACTAATTTCTCATTGGTGCTCTTTTTTATAAGTATGTATCTTAACTATTCTTCCCCCACCCGCCCCACTTTTTTTTTTTTTTATTGGTACTGAGGATTGAACCCAGAGTGCCCATGCCCAGCATTTTTTTTTTTTTTTCCTTTTTCCTCATTTTATTTTAAGACAGGGTTTTGCTAAATTGCTGAGGCTGGCCTCGAATTTGTGATCCTCCTGTCCCAGCCTTTGTAGTTGCTGGGATTACAGGTGTATGCCATGACACCAGGGTTAACTATTCAGTTCTTCTATTCACAAACTAACACATACTGATTTGTGAGTTTCCTTTTACTTACTTTCTTTCTTTTTTTTTTTTTTTTTGTAGTTATAGATGGACAGAATGCCTTTATTTTGTTAATTTTTATGTGGTGCTGAGGATGGAACCCAGTGCCTCACACATGCTAGGCAAGCGCTTTGCCACTGAGCTACAGCCCCAGCCCTCCTTTTACTTTCTTTAGTCTTTAAAATATAGTTGGCTTTTTGTTAACTGCCATACCTACTTACCATAACTTGACCAATCAGGTTCCGGAGAACCTAATTTTGACATTTTTCACTGCCTAATCTTCTCTTGCATCATTTTATTAAGATACACATATATATAAGCTAACAACAATATCCCTTCATGTTTGTATAATATTAGTTTTCAAAGCACTCTTGCACATTACTTCTCTCCAGAACCTATTGAGGAAGCAATCAACCTACTTTTTAGAAATTGGGAAACTAAGGCTCAAAAGGCAAAATGAATATACAAAGATTCAAACTCAAAGTCTTCCAAGTTCAAACTTAGGACTCTTCATACTATGAGTGTTTATAATACAGAAATAAACTGTTTCATAACTGCTTAGCTGAAATACTTAACAGCTTATATTTTTACACAGGATTATAGGGGAAAAAAACATTACCTCTGTTCCACAAATATAAATTGTATTATGCCAAGCTCCAGTAAATTGTCATAGAATACTGTTACCATAGAACACTGCTAAGAAAAACACACAGCTTGTGCTTTACAATGTAACACTGATACCACCTCCATAAGCAACTGTAGCACTAAAGGTAAAAATATGGACACAAGATGGCTGATCTGAAACAGAAGATGATTATTTTGTGTGCTGACAACTTGCAGTAATAATCAGCCCCATCAGAAAAACAGTTTTAAGCTTAAAAGCTCTGTAACTTCCCAGTGCAAAGATGACTGCAACTTTGTATCTCAATGCTAGGAGGAAGGCATCTGCCTTGACTCCCTAGACTTGGACCTGGAAGAGTGTGTACCTCAAACTACTGGGAGCCAGTGCAGAATGTGAAAATGAAGCAGGCAGAGGCAGAGGCAGAGTTGAGAGATAGAAAAGAGTCCTGAGGCATTATTTAAGCTCCTGGATCAGAGTCTTTCATCTGGGTCTTTAATTATATAGGCCAATAAATTGTGAAGCAGTTTGAATTGTGTTTTTTCTGCTACCTGGATCTGAGAATCCTGGCAGCATTTCTTTTCACTGTGAAATTCTCCTCCATTCATTCCCCTTTATAGAATTTTCCTTGCATCCTTTGTATTGCTGAGATCTGGTTTTGTACCATGACTGCATGCATCACAGAAGTCCATGCTGGTTGTAGATAATCTCTACGTACTTTACTAATGGGGGCTCCATTCCATTTATGTTCATGATCATCACAGTACTTTTCACAGCTATTATGTCTGCATGACTTGCATTTTATTATTGAGTCTCTCATACAGTAAGCTAAGCTCCATGAGGGCAAGGACCATGTTATTTCTAATTACTGCTGATCCCCCAGCACCCAGCATACCACTTGGTACATGTTAACTGTTTAACAGATTACTTGATAAATGACTGAATAAATGAAGATGAGGAGTCAATGTTAAAAAAAAAAAACTAAATAGATAAAACTGATCATCTTAAAAGATTCAGCCTGAATATCCAACAAAACATTCAAGCCAGGCACACAGTGGTGCGTGCCTGTAATCTCAGCAAGGCCCTACAACTGGGGACCTAAAGACAGGAAGTCTGCCAGTTTGAGGACAGTCTCAGCAACTTTGCAAGACCCTGTATCAAAATAAAAAATAATAAAGACTGGGGATATAGGTTCAATCTCTAGTATCAAAAAAAAAAAAAAAAGAAAAGAAAGAAAAAAGAGAGAAAGAAATTAAAAGAAAATTATGGGCTCCAGGTATGGCTCAGTGGCATGAGTACCTGCTAGCAGCAAGATCCAGGGTTTGATCCCCAGCACAAGAAAAAAAAAATAAACAAGTAAGTAAGTAAATAAAATACAATAATTAAATTTTTAAAACTACCAGAATTAGAATCTCTATCTAAGCCATGAAGAATTACTTTTAGAGTGTGTGTGTGTGGGGGGGGGGGGGGGGGGCAGGAAATTAAAGAAAAAACGTGAAGAAACAGGACCCACCGCAGCTTCCTTGGCCTTGAACTCTTTCTCCCTCTGCAGGCGGTACTGTTCAATTTCAGCCTGAGCTTCTTCTTTGGCCTGCTTCAGCCTCCGATTCTTTCCTGTTTTCAAAGGAGAAAGCTACATCAGGAAATGTTAAAAGACAAGTAAAAAAGCAAGTGGACACTGAGATGGTGAATTTTAACAGTGAACAGAAAAAAACTTAAGGCACAGCCCCAAGAGGTATACATAGGAAAGGCGGAATTCAGAACTAACAGTTTAGGTTTCTGCCTTCTACAGGTTATAAGTGATCAGACAAAAAGGAATGCCTTCATTGGCTGAGATTCAGTGAAGCTCAGTGGTAGAGTATTTGCCTAGCATGCCCAAGGCAATGGGTTTGATCCCCTGGAATTGGGGGGGGGGGGGGTCTTCCATAACTACATCCCATAAAAATGACAGGGGAAATAAAAATAAGATGTGTCAGAATATTTTCTCAATCTCAACTACTAAGAACCAACATAAAGCCAGACATGATAGCACATGCTTATGGTCCCAGCTACTTGGTAGGCTGAGACAGGAGACAGGATCACTTGAGTTCAGGAGTTTAAGACCAGCCTGGGCAAGAGAAAGACCTTGTCTTTAAAAAAAAAAAAAAAAAAGATGGGTGGCATTAGCTCTCTGAGGAACTCTTTCTCTGCCCAAGAAGTAAACACCTAACTTGCTGATGGCAACTGGAGCTCTGCTTAGGAGCTTACAGAAGAGGCTAATATATTCCCAAGGGACATCAAACTAAAATATAACTAATGAAACAGATGATGTAACACTGGAAACTAAAAACCATACTTGTAGCAAGGAAGTAAGCAAAGTACTGAGTGGAAAGAAGGCTGAGTGGGGAGTGAAACAGCAGGAGGAGCTGAGAGGCCAGGGGAACCAGGGGTTCTGGTCTCCAGGAGTCAGCAGTTTAATATACAGCTGGAAAAAAACCTCTAAGTTGTTAGAACCTATGTGAAAACAGATCACAAGTCTAGCTAACACATACTGTTTGTTTTGACTAGCTGCTCACCAAGCTTCTTGGATACCCAGAAGGAATTAAAAAAAAAAAAAGAAGGCAGTCCCAGATTATCAACCAGTGTTTATATAATTCGGGGCAAAAGACAACACCCTGCATCTAAAACTAAGCTATTATATATATCTCGGTAGTATCAACTGTCCAGCCCAGTTAAGCTATGGGGAGGAATGAAACTGATTTATCCAGCTACTGATTAAGAACACAACCCTGGACCTGTAATGACCCAATGACATCAACATTCCATAGTCTGAAACAATTAACAAGTCTCTCTAAACTATTTCTGCAAGTTTCTATTTACAACAGTACTATTTTGGGCTTACTACTGTAGGCTTCAATTCACCTGAACCTCAATCCTTCACACATATTCTCCCCATAAGTATAGTGAGCCATATTTCAAAGCCAAAAACATCTTCCAAACCAATAAGCTACAAAACATTTATGGCCCAAACTTTATGAAGTAGCTCCACCTCATTTCACAGTATATCACTCCCAACTCCCAGGGCTTCCTGAATAATCACTTAATACCATTTCTGACTTTCAGCACCCCAATGAGATTAAACCACAACACATTTTTTTTTTAATTTTAAGGTCCAAACCAATGACTTCATGAAATCATTTTATTTTACATCATGTGCTACCTCTTCCCAACTCTTAAATGAGCAAGCCAACCTTAGTCACAGATCCAGAAATTTTTTTTTTCAAATTTCAAAGCACTATTGATAACATTTTAAAATGTGTATTTGTCACTTAAAACAAACATATTCAGCAAATAAGAGCTCTCAGAGATACAAGACCTTGCACCAGGCTTAACAGTAGAGAAAGATGTAAAACATGACCTCCTACATCCAAAGAACTCAGTCAGCTATTCTTACCATTTTCCAAGTATTTGTCCCTGCACTTCCCCTAAATAGCCTCCCATGCTTCCCAATAAATAAACTTCTGTTCCTGAGAGACTCACTAGACAAACTCTAAAGAAGTCATTCTGGAAATACTGTTTCAAGGGCATGACTGAAATTATACTACAAAGAACACAAAACTTCCAGTCACCAAAGCAGTGCCAGGAGCTTCTTTCCAGCCCTAGCACCCTAGGAAAAAAAGCATTTCCTAGGAAATAAAGAGTATCATAATCCTCCCCACATCCATGCTTGAAATGCACTTGGAGGTGGGCTATCAGAGTCTTATACTAAAACAAACTCTAAGGAATTACTCAAAGTAATTTCTTGGTACTTTTACCCTGGCATAGGAAAGGAGGCCTCTAAACTTCAACTATGCTGCTTTCCAGCATGTAGTCAAATCATTTCTCACAGCCTCATTTTACAATCTGTAAAATGGGAGCAGACACATCTTTGCTTCAGATGAAAAATGGGGATAAAGCTAAATTAAACACAGTCCCCACTTCACAGAACTTAGTCTTGTGTTTGAGCCATGTGCATACATAGGTTACTGCACTCCTATGACAGAAATAAGCACTTGCAAGGGACTCCTAGTCTCATCCGCTGGAAGATGAATCAGGAAAGGCTTCCAGGAAGAACTGCTGACTAAATGTTGAGGTCTAAAGGAAGATAACAAAGAATAAATAAATAAATAAAGGAAACTAACAGAAAAGAAAAGGGGGAGGGGGGATGGGAAAAGATTCTTCCAATCAGAAGACCTATGCAAAGCTAGCAGGTAAAAACGAAGTTGTCTTAAAGGAATCAAACCGCTCCCCTGTGACGGAAGGAGAGTAACTCAAAGTGAGTACCCAGGGGCTGGGGATGTGGCTCAAAAGGTAGCACGCTAGCCTGGCATGCGTGCGGCCCGGGTTTGATCCTCAGCACCACATACAAACAAAGATGTTGTGTCCACTGAAAAAACTAAAAAAAAATAAATAAATATTAAAAAAAAAAAAAAAAACAAAGTGAGTACCCAAAGTGAGAGCTGGCAAGAACACAAAAGCAAGATCCAGAAACGCTACCTCCAACCCATTAGGGAATCTGGGCTTTATTCTGCTGCCACTGGACATTTGTTGATTGGAAACGTGGTGGGGCAGTCACGTTTGCATTTTACACGGATGACTGAAGTCCGGAGTGAGTACACAGTATAGCACTGGCTTCTTCCATTCCTCAGTGTAGACCAAAGGCACCTGTTAAACTCCTGAGCAACTCTACACTTCCACTTACCAGCAATGACCCTATCCAATATCTGCTTCCTTCGCGAGTAGGTGGAATACCATGATGGTGCTGCACCCATACTGTGCTGGCGCTTACTAGCCGCATTAAATTAAAAAAAAAAAAAAAAAAAAAAAAAAGGAATGAACGAGTTAGGCTGCTACAGAGGCCTCAAAGAAGTTGTGGTTCTCAAGATACTGGTGGAAGAGATGGGGGAAAAGGGAACGGACAGACATATCTTGGCGACTACGACTAAACGTGACCAATAAGGAATAAAACTCGGGTTTGGAGTCTGAGCGATCCTGTGGATGGTGGCTCCCTTCACTGGGCCGGAGCCTTCCAGAGGCGCAGGTGGGAGGGGAGAGAGTCTGGACGGCCCACGCCTTGATCCCCAGAAGGACGGAAATCCATACCGTGTCCCCACCCCATTTACTACCCCACATCGACACCCAGGCCCCCACCCCATTTACTACCCCACATCGACACCCAGGCCTTCCTGAGCCTCGGCTCCACTCAAAGGGCCGCGACAGTGACCCCGTTCCTCGCAGCTCGGGCCTCAGCCGCCTCCCACTCCCGCGGCCCGCGGCCTCCACCAGCTTCCACCCTCGCCTGGCGGCGGGCCCTGAGACTTACGCTTGCGGGCCTCCGACACCTTCTCTGCGGCCCGCTTCTCCGCCTGCAGCAGCTGCTGGATCCCCTGCGACTGGCTGGCCATGGCTGCGGCGACTCAGAGGGCCAGGCAAACGGCCTAACTAAAGCCACGGCCCCCCGGGTCAGCTGACCCACCGCCCAAGCTCTGCGCCTGCGCCTTGAGACGGCGCCCCCACCCCGTCGTCACGTGACCCCAGCAGCGTCGCGTCAGCTGACGGTTTGGAAGTCCTGGGCTCACGCAGGATGGGGCGGGGAGGAGGAGCCTAAATGGAGCGCCGCAACTGCGCCTGCGCGATGTCAGGGCTCTCTTCCGAGGTCCGGGCCCATCGATCGACAAATTCTGTCAGGAGGTCCTTGTAGTCGCACTGCTCTGTTGTGATTGCTCTATTCCCTTACTAGTATGCCCACATTAAAGTTCATAGCCAAAGAATATCACTTTTTCCTACTTTCCACACTGCTCTACTGCCGGTCTACTCTCTGCCTTTCTGGAAATTTCCTACAGTCTATTTAGGAGCACTTTAGGAAAATTCTTGCTAGTTTTGGGGAAGGAGTCCCGGGGTGAAGTAGGTCCCTACAGTGAACTGGGAACATAGCTCAGTGGTAGAGCGCTTCCTTAGCAGGCAGTGAGGCTCTGGGTTCCATCCCCAGCCCCACAAGGTGGTACTGGTGGAAGGGGTTGGAGCCAAGTCCATTAGTAATCTGCAGAGTGGATTTTCCGACGGGTCACTGCCCCTTTCTGAACCGAGTTCAGGAAAGGACTGCACTGTTTTCCATAAATGATAAATGAATGTCCAGCATGATTGGTAGTGAGGCCACAGCAGAGAGGTTGACAAAGTCCTCTGATGGAGCTCACAGTTTACAGACAAAAGACAGGTTAAGTAAAATGCGTAGACAATGACAAACCGTAGTAAAGTCACGAAAGAAATACACGAGCTGCTTTACAAAGAGGAGGAGGATGCAGAAGGGGATGTGAAGGCTCTCCCAGTGAAGTGGCACATTTAAAATGAAGCCGAATGCCATTTGTGGTGGCCAGGCTTGTGATCTCAGCAAGCAATCCCAGCGACTGAGGCAGAAGAATGGCAAATTCAAGACCAGCAGCTTAGCAAGACTATCTCAAAAGGGGAAGGGACGCCGCTGGTAGTGTAGCTCGGTGACAGAGCACCCCTGGATTCAGTCCCCAGTACAGGAATAAATAGAGATCGGAAGGCCAAGGCTGTGGTAAAGGGCTTGCCTGGCATGCACCATGCCCTGGGTTGGCTCAGCACTGTGGGAGACATGAGCTCTGAAGAATACGAAATTACCTAGGAATGTATAGTGGCAAATAAGTTAGGGATGATTAGGAGAAAGGGACCATTATGTGTAGAGCTCGGGGGAGCTTGACTTGGCACAGATATGGTCCCCTGGCGCCCCCCAGGAAAGCAAATGGTTGCATTTGCATTATGACAGGCATTGTCCTAAACACTTGGCTTACACCCCAGGGCAATTTCAGGACTACCATGAAATAAATAATGATCCTGTTTTATCATGCCCGCACTGAAGTTGAGTGGATGAGTAACCTTGCCCATGGTCACGCCCCTCTTAACTGTCAGATGGGGTATTTCAGTCTAGTCAGGCTACAGACTGGAAACTCTGAGCAGCTGTGCCCTTTCTCAGGGCTCTTATAGTCTATGGAAAGGGCAAGATGACCTCTAGAGTTCACCAAGTACTGAGAACATAGGACGATGCCAGATTTTTTTTTTTTTAAAGAGAGAGAGAGAGAAATTTTTAATATTTATTTTTTAGTTTTCGGCGGACACAACATCTTTGTTGGTATGTGGTGTTGAGGATCGAACCCGGGCCGCATGCATGCCAGGCGAGCGCGCTACCGCTTGAGCCACATCCCCAGCCCCCCAGAATTTTTCTTATTATAAATATCTTTGCACTTCGGGAAGAGGTGGATTTATGGCTCAGTATATTTTCAATTATTTGATGGAAAGATGGTTACAATCCAGAATTCCTTTTCTTTCTTGATCTGTGAACCCAAACTTGATTTCTCTCTGCAACTTTTAAGTCCATTCAATGTTTCCTTGGAAGGTTTGTAAGTTTTAGTGTTCTCAGAAAACTCAGTTCACTCAGTCAATGAGCAAGGACAATATGCTCTTTTTTAAGAGAGGGATGAAGATTTAAAAAGATGATGGTAGTCCAAAATGGAGCAACCTAAATGTCCACCTACAAATGAGTGGACAAATAAAATATGTCATTCCCATGCAATAGAAAAATATTCAGACATAAAAAAGAATAAAGTACTGGCATAAGCTACAACACAGATGAACCTCGATAACATTATACAGTGTGAAAGAAAGTCGACACAAAAAAACACATACATACAGTTCCATTTACATAAAATGTCCAAGCCATGTGTGGTGGCATATGCCTGTGGTCCCAGATACTTGGGAGTCTGAGGTGGGAGGATCACTTGAGCTCATGAGTTTGAGACCAACTTGTGCAAGTAGCAAGACCCAGTCAAAGGTGTGTGTATATATATATATATGGCTGGGGTTGTGGCTCATGGTAGAGGGCTCACCTAGGCACAGGTGAGGCACTGGGTTCAATCCTCAGCACCACATAAAAATAAACAAAAATAAAAGTGTTGTGTTCACCTACGACTAAAAAAATTTTTAAATATGTACACAAAATGTCTAGAATAGGAAAATCTTTAGAGACAAAAAAAAAAAAAAAAAAAAAACAGATTAGTTATAACCAGGGCTGGGGCAGGGAAGGAATAGGGAGGGCCTGCTCACTCACTAGTACAGAATTTCCTTTTAGGGCAATAGAAATGTTCCAGGATTAAAAAGTGGTGGCAGTGGCATATCCTTGTGAATATAAAAAACACTGAATTGTATACTTTAAAGTGTAACCAGTATGGTATGTGAATTATATCTCTATAAAGTTTTTCTTTTTTTTTTTTTTTTTTACTTAAAAAGCAGAGAGAGATGAGGAAGTTGGACGTGGATCCTTTGCACAGTTTCTAGTCTAATAAGTGCCAGCAAATGGAAGCTGTTGTTTTAGCTGGCTAGGGGATAATTGTTCAATTTGCAAATCTGGTTCTACACTTAACAAAAGCCTTCACATTAGGGTTCCTATAACAGCCCAGTTCCTCAGAGCATCTAAATATCTACACATTCCAGAATTCTTTTCCTGGAAGCATTCCAAAAGTTTATTGTGTAAAGAAAGAAACACTAGACAATCCCTCCTCTGAAATGTCAGACTGGTTTGGATTTTCTGAAGATCAGAGTGGGTGTTTGGTATCAGAACTTGGGTCCCCTGAGGAGGCGGCCTGTAATAACAAGGAAATGAGAGTGAAGCAATTGCCCTCAGAGGTGGGCCTTCAAGTCTTGAGCAGCAGAGTAGAGCAAAAATTCACAAAGTCATCTCAAGGGTACAGAGTAGATGGCTGGCCTCCTTCCCTTGACCAAAGAATGTATTAGCACATCTAAGAAAAAAATGTGCACACTCTGAGGTGGGTTGTTCAGACACAAGTTGGAAACAAGGGTGGTCTCCACAGGTCCAGTTTAGCTGTGCATCAGAGAGGCCAAAAGAATAGGCTGCATAGTTGAAAATCCCAGCCATGCATACTTCAAAATCTCAGCCTGTCCTTCACTTGCTGGTTGACCTTGAACAATTATTTCACAATATGCTAAAAATTGGGCTAGTGATAGTGCAGTAGCATTGTCAGGAGAATGAAACCAGTTAATACATAGCTTAGAACATGCTCACAACTCATAAGAACACAGACATCTGGACCCCATAATAGTGATTTCTCATCCAAAACTCATAGGCCTTTCACTTTTATATATCCACCTGGTGCCTGTGGTTAGTGGAAGCTCACCTCTGACAGACTGCTTCCGGAGGATTTGCAGAGCCACTGCATACAGTGGACAGGTTGCTCACTGCACACAAAGTGAGACTGCTAAAATCCAGCCGGGGCTCCACCTATTATGCTCAGAAAGAACACTCTTTCCTTATTTATATAAAGTCTCCTTGGGACCTGAAGTGGACCTATGACAAAATCCGGGGTGAAGGCTTGACTATCCCATGGGAAACTCATGGGAGAATTAACTGCTCCATGGGGCCTCCTGGGAGACAGCTTCCTGGTCCCTGCCTCAGGTCGCCATGATATACACTTTCCACAGTGAAACACTGAGAATTAAACAGCCTACCTACCAGAGAGGCTGCACGCTTGTAATCCCAACAACTGGGGAGGCCTGGGCAGGAGAATCACAAGTTCAAAGGCAGCCTAGGAAATTTAGCGACACAGTGTGCCAAAATAAAGAACTTTTTTAAAAAGCTGGGGGTGTAGCTTTGTGGTAGAGCGCCCCCTGGGTTAAATCCCCAGTACTGCAAAAGATAACTAAAAAGCCCTTCCTCTCGATTTATTCTGAAAATAAAAAGACTGAGATTCGGTTCCTCAATTTTACCAGCACTGGAGAGATAATATCCATCCCCAGTGAGCCACTCAGCTACATGTTGCTATGATGACATTTACTTGCTATTTCAGACTCCACACAGTTAAAGATCCAGGATTGGCCAGGGTAATATTTTTTTCCTCTCTTGTCCCAGGAGCCGAGGAGCATGCCTGGAAAGGGATCAAGGAAATAAAGAATTGCAAATTATTCCTTGAAGTTAACGACCAGTGAGTCTGAACAAAGTCATAAGCAAAGATATATTAATAGTACTCCTTTCCATTCATTTGTTTATTTAAAATTGTGCATTGGGTAATGACCTAAAGGTAGGTGCCAACCTTTGGCCAAGCGGTATCTTGTGAGTAAAACAGACCCATTCCCTGTCCTCTTGAAGTTTGGACTTAATGGGAGGAGCAGCCTGTCTCATTCACAGCCCAGTTGTGCCAGGGCAGTGGTGTGGGTTGTAGACAGGCCAAAGAATGTACCCCAAGACAGCATGGAAGACATACGGCTTATTGGGGAAAGAGCTCAAGAGATCAATCAGTTTCCAGAAGAGTTCAGTGGCAATAGGCTGACAGATGGCACCCCTGTCCCTCACGGTGCTTTGCCAAGCAGTGCCTTCTCTCCCTTAGTGCTTTGTCCAGTGGTGGTCAACCAGATGAGTGACACGTATCCTTCCACGCTGCACCCATCCCCACTCAG